ATCCATCCATAATGCCCCGAACAGCGTGTTCTCTGCTGCACATTTCGCTTAATTGTGCCTTAACTTAGTACGTACATAATCAGTACTAGTAATGGGTTTTATTTGCTACCGTAGTTTCTGCAACAGAACCTACAGGACCTGCATAATCTGCAAACATACTTGCTGAACTGACTTGTGAATGCATAATCTGTTCGCTTCTTCGATTTGTGTATCTATTTAATTAAGCGAATGTTTTGAGAGAAGTTAGCCGTATCGTTTTAGCCTCCATAACTGATGAGCTGGTGGTTTTTCGAGTTTTCGTGATGCTAAAAAAAACTTTCGAAAGTGGTAATTGTGTTTTTTAAAGGTTCACCCAGGCATTGTTTTTGGGGGCGACCTTTAAATTTGGTGTGTTGCGTAGATTGTAGCCGCTCACTCTTTAATACTAGATCACGGATTATACAGTAGTTACCAGCTAGCAAAAAAGAAAAATTTTGTTGTGGCGCACTGCTTTTTTAATCAGTGTTTGACATTGACCGCGGCCAAAACTATGTGGGAGAATTCCTTAACACTATCTATATAGGCCAGCTTAAATATAGTCGCCTTCCCTTCCTGAAATTCTCCATCACGAGTGGATTGCCATCACCGATCGCATGGTGCCAGAAAATTGGCCATTAAATACGAAATTCAAAGCGACAGATAAATGCGGGACATCAGCCTGCGTCGCAGTCCGCGGCGAAGCGAGAGACGAAGATGCCCTTTAAAATGCATTATAATATGGCACTTTTGAATATTTCTTCAGTAATAAAATTCTACGGGCCTCTAGAATTTCACACAGGAGTTTTAGGAAGATTATCGCCGGCCAACAGACGGTGAGCGTAGACAGAATAGAGAAATGTCAGCGAGAGTAGCCAGCGCGATGATCAAGTGCTATTGCGCCAGGTAATAGTTTATCCTGGACAGTAGCTGGTCATTATAGTGACTGGAGCCCTTTGATTATGCTAATTGCTAAGTCGACGGAGTAAACCGTGTGCTCCTGTCAGAAACTGCAGGATAATAACTTGTTGAGAGACAGAGAGAGATTTTCCCTTTACAGTTTGATGGGCTTACGTTAACGGAGTTACGGTTGATGGGTGCTGGACACGACCGGCAATCAGGTGCACAATACGTGCAGCACATATTTTCCTGTTAAATCTCTGCCCTATCGCTCGCTCTGTGCTGAAGAAATGCTATAGCGCATTATGTGTTCAATGCGCATGACAAAAAGGATATTGCGGATGCATCGCCTGAACTATTCATCAATCTGGCTTCCGATACATAAAAGATGGACTGTGTAAACTGTAGAGTGTAAAGAGGATGCTACCGTGCATATATTGAGCCTTCTGATATTTGTTTACTTTAGTCGGCATTGGTCTTGCTCATACGCACCGGACACATGCGACCGGGTAGAGCATTTCAGTTCATGGCCTTTGATGAATGTGTAAACGACGAATCGTTTCTAATGCTAGAAAAATTTTTATCTTCAAAAAAACGCGTATATCACCGTATCAAGTTTTACTGTGGTTATAATGTTTATACTGTACCGGTATGTAAATATAAAATATGTATCAGGATAGCACTTCAGTTCATTTATGGATGTTGTAAATTGCGTATGTATTTTCAATTAGAAGTCCAGGAAACTGAAATTAAAGTCGCGTACAACAGTTTTATTGAAGATAATATTCCGAATTTCGGTAACCGAAAACGCTTGCTACTGCGAGATTAATTATGCCGCGTATACCACTGCGCCTGCTCATGTCAGACGGTAAAGACAAGCACCTGTCACTATGGCTGCCAAAAATTTTCTGCGTTTTTCTTCTTTTACGATTTTTAAGAATTGGTTCTTTTGAACCTGACGCTCGTATGACCAGTTATTCAGGTAACATATGATCAAAAACGATCAACAATTACTTTATGTGTTATGAACATTAGAGCACGGATTTGCTAGCGTGTTTGCGACACTATGTATAACTGCAACGAAATAAATCAGAGACATCCGGCGACTACCATATTCGTTAGTTTTATATAAGAAGCAGTAGATAATTACAATCCGAATTACATGGCCGCCGTCAATTTTGCTTGATTCCGCCATATTTTTTTGCGCCTGTCATTTTTCATTACCCAAGTTCCGTCAATGTAATCATGCGCAAAATTACAGTTTATCCGTTCGCAGTTCTAAAGACTTATGCAGTTCGGTGCAGTATCGCAATTCCGTGATATATAACTCCTCAAAACAATAATCACTTGAAAGGTCACTCTTGAAACAGAAAGCTATTTGAGCACGATTTTACATGAGGAACAACATCGAGATGATTAGCATTTCGCATAAATTAAGCCATTACGTATAATGATATATTTTACGATTTATTTATTGTTTAATCTTTTGCGCTAGAAGTACAGATTTAAACTTAAAATAACTAAGTTCCAAACAAAAGTTGAAAATGACATAAAACAAAAACGAGACTGATAATAAACAACTAACTATAATGCGCCTATAACTCTCCGTAAGAGCTTTTATAGCAGAAAGTTTACTATTTTACCCCAGAGAAATGATATTATTGAGAAGCTTTCGGCGTTTATAAACTTTGACGGCGTATTAATGGAAAGTTTTTTATAATACCGCAACACGAGAGAGTTTAACCCCGTAGCAAATCTACTCACATCAGACAAACTGCTAGAGGATTTGTTTGCGTTTTTTGCCAGCAAAATTGTTGCAGGCGCTTCTGACCACTTGTACGTTCGCGTAAACAATGTTTTTGCTAGCTAAACCAAAAGAACTAAAAGTTTAAAATCCTAGATTTTAAAACCTTAACCAGTTTGTGTTTAGATTCGCCAAAATACACTGCCCACTGAACCATTTAATGTTTGTGAACCGCTGCTATACTTTCATGAGTCTGTCATCTAGTACCCTAAAACTGTTTACGTTAATAATATACTTATTATGCACGCAACTTGACGCAAGTAACCTTTAATTACTGCACACAGATTACGCATTATTTCATCACTGTCAACCTTTTGTCAGCGTATTACTGGAAAATAATTTTTTGTTCTCGGTTAACAGTGTACTGTGCTTGTACACCGTACGTACGGAGAGTGAAACCAGAACAGCCGCACTTCTGCCATTGAAATTCCTTTCTTATAATCAAAAGCGGCTTGCATACATTTTACGTGTTATTATTTATGGCTTGGTGATGTTTCGGCAATTTCTGCCAAAATGTCGAATTGGAGCCAAAAAATTTCACCGTTCAGTTTTTGAACATGTTTGAAGCGGTTTACTGGAAAGCTGAGTTAAATGACAGAGCGCATTAACAGAAGGACATTCAAGGAGAATTGCGCGCAGTTTAGGTAAGTATTCAACTGGGTAGTTGATCGTAATACTCTGCAGCTTGGTTAAACAAAGCAAATCAATTATATCAATTAAGATTGACAATTTCGTGAAAAGTATAGATGTACATGAATCAGGATTTTTTGCTTCATGGTTCTTACGATTAGTCATACAAATGCTACACAGATGCCAGCTTTGATTTCACAATTAACCACCGAAAGATCGAAGAAAATAATGTATAACCAAAGCCTATGTTGGTTTAACGCATGATCACATTACCTATATGCGTTCAAATTTACCGGTATTTCGGCACAAAATTATATCTTATGTAGCTGCACAATTTAACACAGCTGCACGCAACGTTCTTGATAACAACCACAAAGATTTCTTGTAACTTATTTTTAAACCAAATATGCATAGTAAGGATAGTTTACGATTCATGCCTATGAAAAGATAATAATAATTGCTTGCGGTTAGTGTATTTTTGGATCGTTGTTAACAAGATGGGTAGTATACCGGCTGTACGGCTACGTAATTCGTTCACAAGACAACTCCGCTACTCGCTTTCAGCGATGTGTGAGCACTGCAGCGTATCGAAGAGTGGAAACCCAGTGGGGTTTTCTTTTCTGGGCTTCCGGCTTAGTTGTGAACGTGAACGTTCCTGGAGGCTGCCGTCTAGGAAGACGTGATTGACCGGATGGACAAGAATTCGTACAAAGTGTACAGACGTAGATTAGTGACTGAGTAATTTTGAATAGTTTGACGAATGCATCACACTGCCACCGTGTGTGCAACCGCTAAAACAAAACATAAATACACAATGCAAAACTACAGAGAAATGCCGCTCTAGTACATCTGTATGTTTGTTTGTTCAAGAGCTGCACGTCTATATGAATAACTTGAGAAGGTGCAGACGCGCTACTGTGCAGTAGCGTAGCCAAGTGGTCACCATATTGACCGAGCTTTAAGGATAACGTGCCGCCGCGGCTGATCAAGTAAACACGGCCATTCGCGCCCATGAAACAATACATTCATTTAAGTAAATGGTCATCTTGTGGTCATATGTAAACAATAATACAATGGTTTACCAAATGGATTATCAGAGCAATCGATGAGGAAGTGTTGAAGTAAATCTTCGTAGCAAATAGATTTGCATATGCAATAGGACATTAACTTTAATAAGTATTCTGTTTGTAATGCTGTCGAATATCTGTATGCTAACAAGATTTAATATTTCTGTAGCATTTTACTCAAAGCTTTAAAATTATGTGCACAAAAATAATAATTATAAGCAGCTTCCAAATCAAAGAGTGCAGTAATGATATTGGACATCCATCGTCCATCCATCATTAAACGCCGCTATCAGTCCGGATAGCAAAGAAAGAAGAAAATCGACAGTAGCTTCGCTGGTTGCGAGTTATGAGTTCGTATGGCGAAAATGTTGTCCAACAGGTTTTTCATATTCTGCTTGGTTGCCTTCCATCAAGAAAAGATATTTCACAGGTACGCCTCAACATCAAAGTCACGTTGCGTATTTGTTAGAGGCTTTGGCTGGCACAAGGTACAGTGTTATTGCACAGATCGTCCGTCGACTGTCGCCATAACTCACCTGTTTTCAAGCGCAGACACATACTCTCACTGCACAACACACCGTATGCACTGGCAAATGAGCACATAAGGTTTAGAATATTTTCTTCGTCCAAAATTACGAGATATAAGGTGGTTTGACAGAAAGGCAGGTTAGGAGCCGCGCTTCAACCTTGGTTGAGTCAGAGCCAGAGCCGATCAGCGCCGATCGACGTAATGGAAAGAATTTCTTAATACCCCGAATCAGCCGCAAATACTATTCGCCATCCGCACATACCTTGATGTTGTGTGTACCTGTGTGCACGCATCAGCGAGCGTTGGCACTTTTTATTCTTTTTCCTCAATCGTAAAAGCTTCTACTTTCCATACAGCCAATCGAGCCGCAATAGTCGGTTTTTTCTATCTCTTTCGCTACCTCTCTGACAACAAATAATATCAACTTGCGGAGATTCTGCTGCATGCGTTATAACTTTCTCCAATATATACTGGGGGCGACAGTGCCGCAGGAAACGGCACTTACACACATACACTCCGCATCTATCAGCCGCTGAAAAACATTTGACTGCCGTGCCGCTGCCGACTAACTACGCCAGAGGAAGATTGTGTTCGCCCGTGCTTGACGTGCTCCCGGCAGAAATTCACAGCTGACGCGCGAAGACGGTAAAAACAATACCGGACACGGACCGGCAGAAGGATATCGTCCCTTACGGCGATTAGCGGCTAATTAATATCCCCTTATCATCATTATCATCCATTCTCCGTTACACACTGTGGTTGCGCTTCATTAATCTCCATAAAAAATCCCTTAATTTGGTCCCGGCGCAGCGTATGTGTGTATGTATAGTGCAGCTCGATGCACCGATTTATATTACGCTGTATTTCTTGGCGCTGTATTTGCTAAGATAACATGTCCGCCAGCATGAACGGCAGCCCGGGCAGTAACTCCGCACAGCTCAACAGCATACAGGGTGAAAATCAATCGGCAAATGGTAGTGCTCCAGTTTCATCATTGGATGATTCGGTAGCCGGCAATGCCGCGGGACATTTGTCAAATGGCACTGCCGCACAGCAGCAGCAGCCGGCGCGTACAGCCAGTCCCAATACGGATCACCATCATCAGCATCATCATCATCAGCATCAGCATATCGTGGATGCAGTGGGCAAACGAGATCACTTGACGAATGCCACAAACACAGCCACGGTCAGTGTTATCGCCAATATTAACCACGCTGCCGTGGCCTTTAATGCCTTCGGAATTCTGGATGCCGCATCCCTTAATAGTCTTGAGGTAATCTTTCATCGCTTTGAGGTATAGAGATATAGTCGGGGTTTTTTCCTCCTTTTTCTCTCTTTCTCTCGCGGCGCTTTCTTGTCGCTTTTTCCTGTTAACCTGTCATGGTGATGATGTGGATGAATGCGAAATCCGCTGCGGCCAGTGCTTTGGTAAGATGCGACAGCACGCAATCAAGTCATAGGGTCATTATTAATAAGTAGTATTATTATGGGATTCCGTATGCGCAGAACCGTGGTGGTTGGCATTCATAATGTACAAACGAAATACTACCACCGCTCACATCCGGTTTTCCCAAATAGTAATTTAAATTTTCGGGTACCGATGCCAAGATGAATTATATTAGCAGCCTGCGTTGCTAGAGTGTAAATGCGGGTACATCCGTACGCCAGATTATGTAATCAGCGTACGATATTAATTGGTAAACACCGAGGAAAAAGTGCAGGGTTTTCTGCATGAGCGACGAAATGTACGTTTAATTGATCTTGTTCATCTAGTCAAGCACATCGCCTGCCAGTTACAAACTGTCTGCCAGTGCGATTTGCCTTTAAAATGGTTTTATGGTGTCTTCTTCTATACTATATAGCTTCAGCTTAGTGAACTGTAAATACCCAGTGGTAGCCGCAGGTTAAACAATCTCCGATTGCTCGTGCCGCTGCCGTAGTTTGTCTGTGCCCCGGCGATGACCATAAGGGAAGTGGCGGTATGCCCTGGTTGCGGAAACCCGGGGACAATAATTACCAGTTATGTTGATCGCGAGCTTCCATCCCCGGCTACTTTTTCCAGTAGATCGTGATAAGCGAAAACTACTAGCGATAAAAAGAAGCAGATAAGAGTTAATGTTAGAGTAGCAGTATAAAGTAATCCCCTCTGGTATTGACGCTTTAGGATGTATGTGATGCCCATCCACAAAGGGCTTCCCTTCATAAACAGTTGTGCCTGTTGGCATTTGCAGTAGTGTTAGCGCGCGCGCGCCGCGCGATGACCTCCGGCTGTTAATGAAGTTTACTCGTGTGTACATGAAAGATCCTAGCGCGCAAATCAACAGTGTTCCACGATGAGAGAAAAATGTGTTATTTAGATGAAGCAGAAGGGTGATGGTAATTTTGTATTTCCGTGCTAAGGAGAAAAGTGTTCTTGTAATGTTTCGGAGATTCTTTTATGCACTATATTCCTCGGAATACACACGCGTGGCAGTGTCCTTTTGGATTATGAATCTGTGTATCATTTTGTGAACGTACATATTTCATAAGGTAATACCCAACTTAAGTTTCTAAACATTACTGCTGTAAAGCAGAGTTAAGAGTTTCTCTATAATGATTTGACAGTAGATCAAATCGAAATGTTACTTCATTCTAGCAACAGTAATTAGCGATTTCAAGTTAAACGCGAATCTAAAAAAGGTTGCTTTAGGAGTTTAAGTATCTTGATTGTGTAATTGTGAGCGACTTCCGCTTATGCACAATTTTACACAATTTTTTATTATTACCGTATCCAGGTCTGGTAAAGTGTGGTCGCTTCACTTACGGCCGCTGCGCTTTTTAATAATTGTGATAATCCGCTGGCATTTAGTCTGCTTATCAAGTTTAATAAGTACGTCAGTTCATGCAGCCACACACACACATGTGTATGAATGGCAAAACCTGATGTCGCTGGCTTACATGTCATTGCTTGATTAGTCGTACCTGTCGTTGATAGATTCCAACATTTTTTTGACTCAGCGTCTTTTACCTTTGATTCATTATGGTGCTGGAGATTCGTCTATGCATCAGAAATATTAGACGGGTTTACCATTAGGCAGAATCTTGCCATTGATAAAGTGCAAGTTCGTTGGACTATACGCGACGATTATATGCGATAATAGCTGTGGAAATTATTACGTATCAGCATTAACCATCAGGAGAAAGCGCCGTACAGTGTGCCGCGTGGTTTGTTTTTTTCTTCCTTCCATAAGGAATCTATTCTTGTTATGCCACTTTTGATAGCATTCATCCGTTACTGCCCGCTGCTACTGCCCCATTGAGCGTGTCGGTTTCTCTCACGCACACTCGTACACTCTGATCAGGATAGATTCATAAAGAAAAATTCAAATCTCATCCATTATTATAACAATAATAATGGACTTGAACGGCGAGGTGATTATCATGTATAAAGTTAAATTTAGCGCTCTTCGCTATAGTTTTTCAGTGGAGGAAGCTTCTGTGTGTGTATGTTCATATGCTACGGCCATTGCCGGCGAATATATAATTGGTACGACAAATACCTGCACCGTCGTATATATAATTGTATTATAATTTATGGATGACTGACGATGGCAAAGCTGCTCATCAGAACGGACTAAGTGAACGGAAAAACCATGTCAAGTTCAGAAAATGCGCAGTGCAGCGAGTGTTAATATACTTATTTGTCCTACTCAAGCGTATCAATTTTTATAAATAGATTAATCTCATTTGCAAGCTGTTACTTTTAGATGAGAAATTATTGATGCTCAGGACATAAAAGATCATGAATTTTGTAGTTGCATAAACTTTTAATTCATTCAGTTCATAGTACGCGCCGAATTTCCGGCATATTGTTCAGAGTGACCACCTATAAATATTTTTACATAATTCTGCACAATCATATGCATAACATTCTTAGTAAGTACAGTGTAAACTGGACACAGCCAAAAAGTGTTATGTTACATAAATGCTGCTAAAAAATTCAAAATCCGCTTTATGAATTGATGTCAACATTTGTTTGTCCGTGCTAATATCGCGAGCATTAGACCGGGGAGCTTTAAACTCCATTTTTTTACAGGACCGCCGCGACTTGGTATCTGTCGGGCAGTTCTCCTCGGCCTCAGTATCGCCTTCATCATACTCGAATGCCGCGCGCTTTTCCGGCGGTAGTGCCGATTTTCAGCCTCCGTACTTTCCGCCGCCGTTCGCCCAGCAGCAGCTGGAAGCCTACCATCCCCATGTTGCCACGGCGGCCGATGCGTACTCCCATTTGAACACTTTCCAGACGCATCAGTCCTGGTCGCACGCGGTAGCCCCACGCCGTGACGCCCAGGATGCCCTGCACTCATTCCAACCGACGGCCAACGGTCAGCTGCATGCCTTCCAGGCCGGGGCCTACGATACGCGCGGTCGGCCAGATTTTCCGCAGATCCGCCGGCCGGATATCTTGGTGCATGCTGGGCCGCATGGCGGCATCGCCTCCGAGCAGGACCTTATGACGCTCAGCTCGGCTAGTATGCTGCAGCAGGTTATGGAAGTGGACGGACAGGTATGTTGATTGCGTTGGAATCTGCTACGTATACTGTCAGTGATGCAGTAAATTCGAACTGTTAAAGCGCTCTATAAAGCCGTACACAAAAGTATTGCAATATCTTACGCTTTATGGTGAGCCTTTCATACGAGGATAATGTTTGTAAAAAATTTAAGACACAACCATAAAGCAATAAAATGAAATCATAGGCACGCAATAAGCAGATGCTGGAGTATACCAAACATAAATCAAACGTTCGCTTACAAGATACAGAATAAATGCGAGTCTAAAACTTTTTTTTAAAAAAACCTGTACTGCAACGGCACTTCTGTTTTCGGAAAATTTATCGCAGAATTTAATATTTTAGCAAAAAATAATTGTTTCTGTAAGCTTTTTGGAACGATTCATATTCCAGAAGTTGTTATTGCGGTTTTATTAAAGCTGCTTTTCATTGCAAGTTTTCTAACGTAACGTGCCGCACTTTATGTGCGCATAAAAGCCATTTTATTTATGTAATTGCCTGTAATCCACTTAGCAAACAAAGGAAGACTTTTTTAAAATATCGAGAAATCTGCTCGCAGTTTTTATCTTTTATTCACTCATTTCCTACGAGTAAGAAATGGCTTCTGTAAAAATCTTGGCATTCGGTGCCATTCATGTAAACCCTGAGGCTTACAAGTCAACAAGCATGATCCGTATTATTACCGTTGCAAGACAAAAACCAAAGAACCAGGTAAAATAATACCGTTACGAGAATTTCGAGTTTTGCGACGTTTCAGCACTTTTTGGTGAACCACGGAACGCAAAATACTACCGCGCTTGCATAAGTAGCTAACAACACTTTCAAACGACCAGTTTCTTTTGAGTAACTCAGTGCACTTAATATGCCATAAATGGTAACAGAAAGATTTAACATTTTTAATTATGCGTTTTCAACCATCAATATTATTTTTAATGCTCACAAACCTATTCTCTGAAACAAACAGTATTTGCTCAGGATGCTTGCTTGCTTGATCACTTGTTTAATGGTTATTATATCCACTATATTCGAGAAACTTGTACCTTTTTGTTTTATTTTTAAGTGTAGGTCATCCAAAAGCCAAAACATTAGTAATCATGTTGACCTTTCGTATGCAGTATGATAGTAAATATCCCTTTCAAAGAAAATGTCGATCACTCTTACTTACTTAAAATTACACAAAACGAATGTTATCAACAAGATGGATAAATATTATAAGTCATGGAAAGCGCTGTTAATTGTTTTATTTATACTTAGTGTTATGAAATAACAAAATTTTATAAATCCTTACTGGATATAGGTCAAACAATTAAACCTGGCGTCAGACTCGGAATTTTCTGTAAACGATGCTTCTGTATACATTTCTGCTCCAAGCACTTGGAATGTTTATTTTGGGACTAATCTGGCTAAAAATCCCTCCGGCCGTCAGATGTGGGTAAAGAGCTATAACGGATCTGACCGGCACGCGCTTGATTAGGGTGATTAGTACATGAAGGTTGCAAATTTCATGTTATTGTTCAAGAGCGTTGTGCACTATGCGGCCGGATTGGATTTAAAGCGATATTCCGGCGGGATTTGCCCAATCAGATAGGGGGTCCCTCTCATGCAACACATGTAAAATCTACTTAAAAACTCCCAAAATATCCTACATCCTGTGTGTATACATCATATACTGTATCTAGTATATACAGAGGAAAACTGTGACAACTGCGCTGTGCCGGCGCGGCTATTCATCCTTGATCCGCAATCCAAGTTTAATGAGCCGCTTCAGACCTCGATAACCTGCAAACATGCTCGGGTTTAGCAAGTTGCATCTCCTTGCCGCGGATGTGCGTTAAAATGGGAACAATACCGGCAACCCGCACTAGTTTACATGGACACACGCTACATCTGGAGTGCGTATTGTATGCTCACTGGCTTTTGAAATAAAGTGAAGCGTGTAATACGAAAAATCACAACCCATTCAATTAGAGACGCACTGAAACAGCTGGACAGCAGCGCAAATTGTCCAAGAGCCCCGGCCGGGCACACACAGACACAGTACTCTCGTCTGGATTTGCGCAATGCCATATTATTCATATAAACACATAATTAAGATCCCGCTTAATTGGTCTGTTGTCCGCGCTGATGATCATTCCGACGGATTGTATTGTTTACAAAAGAGCTAAATACGTGGATGAAACGCTAAGTAAACAGCGGTGGTTCTGTAAATGAAATCAGCTAATTAAGGTCGATTCCATTTATCAGAATCGACAATACTTAGGTTTTGAATTTGCGCCTTATTGCGTTTACCGTAACACATAATTTATGGCAGATTTGTACGTAGGAGGTTTTAAAGGTTCACAAAAAAATATAATGCGGAAATTTAAATTTCGCAAATCAAAGAAACAGAAAGCAAATTTGGTGGCTTATCAAACAGTTAGGAATACTAGAACTGGCATTGTAATGCGTAAACGCACAGATTTCGTTTAACAAAAAGAGTTATGTTCGCGGCACAAGAACACAGTGGTGGAACCATTAAAAACAACAAGCTAGACAACCTCCGCCCGGGGAATGTACCTGACAGTAATCAGTCATTTCACTAATTGATATCATTCTTTCTTTAATTACGATATTATTTCCCTTCAACAATGCGGTGTTATTCAAACCTACCACAGCAAAATAAAATGTGTGTGCTTTTGTACAAGCTCGAAGAACAACGTTGCGACCGATTGTCCACAACCGGAAACATCTTGTCAGCTTGCATAAACATTTTTAAACTATCGACCTTAACTTGTTGAAGCTTCACCAGCTTACGATTTTCTATTAAGGAAATTCATAGGTTTTTTTGTAACTTCGAAGCAATCTTCCTTTGTTTATTTACTTTGTTTTACATTTTACACTGGTCCAAAACTTGCCTTTGCCATTAGATACTACGTTAGTATTGTTAAGTTCCTTGTACAATATCTGTATCTATCGCTCCTCGCATCGTATGGTTGTGTAATTATTAATGTCTCATTCTGTGTAAACAGCGCGCCCCGTTTTAATAAATACTGTCAGCTTCTGCTGATTTCTGATTAATTACTTTCATTTCTCCACTTCATTACACAGCTAATCCACATTCGGAGATTCGTTATGATAAACACGCAGACGCTAAGTACACGCGCTTATGGCATCATTTATACACCATCAAAATCCACTTAATGCAAGAACTTCGCTCCGCTATAGAATAGCGATACTACAAGGACCTTATTTTAATGCTACACGCGTAATAATGGCGCATCTGTACGCAAATTTTTAAAACGCAACAAAGAGCAATAACGCTTCGTTAACAGAAATTAACAATTACTCAAAGGTCACAAGATACAGAAATGTTTCAAAATGCATTTGTACAGATATTGCATTTATACAGATATGCTTCAAAATTTATTGTGTCTAAAGAGTCATGAAGCCGTTACAGGTCAACGAAAAGATTCAGATATGCATACATAGGGATAATTTTTAGTTTTAAATACGTTATTTTTGATTTAAAGTAAAACGTGTGCATTTGAATTGCAGGGCGTTGTCGATCATCACGATGGTGGCGGTGGAGGCGGCTTTTCCATGGTGAACGAGCACAGCACCGTGATTCGCAAAGGTAAAAGTTTTATTCGCTGTGGTATTAATAAAGTGCAAAGGCATTGTGGGGTGGAGCATTTTTTAATTATTTCTCAATTTATCGGGAAAACCGATAAGAGTCGTTGAAACGACAAGTGAACGATTTTATCACACGCACCGCACGAAACCCCGCACAGCAACATGGGTGGTTGAAGGAGTTGTTTAAGAAGATCCTTTCAATGCATTCTCAAAATTCGTCGGGTAGGCAACAGAGGAATCCGAACACACAACTGGCCACTTGACGAGCCATGGCTTTATTTACCTTCTGTATATTGAGTAAACGACTATCTTGAGCACGGGATATAATTAAATTCTCTGGCACTAATCCCTTAATATAGAGAATTGTATATAGTATACTGGAAGTGGAGAGGAGCAGCCTCATGATCAAGAAAATCGATGTGCTGGAAAAATATGTGTGCTTTCATGCACTGCCAAACAGCAGGAAATTTAAAACATTGATTTAACCGCATTATGTACGCAACAAGAGGCGCTTTGTTAGGGCCCATGTCTCGCCATATAATACAGTCCGGGCAGTTCTGCACTGAAACTGCCCGATCGAACAGGTCATAATTGGCGCATTTCCCTCAGGATAAACACCGGCTATCTTGTTACCGTTCTTTCTTGATAATTTTGTTATTAAAATTGCATTGCCTGTTGATGGAAATTACGTTGTACCGGGCAAACCCCAGTAATTAATCCCTGCACTGACGATTTCAACTTTATGATAGAGGTCACGCATTTCATTGCGTACAACGTTATAAGCAAGCAACGTATTATTTTACGATACAGATCATACTTGATACGCTGCATCAGCGATATTTACGTACGCATTTGACAGTGCCTTAAGACAAGATTTTATTTTTCTTTTTTTTGTAGTCGGAATTCGGACAAAATCGGAAAATGCCAAAGAAATTGCCATAAACAACGGCACAATTAGTCACATGGATGTGTTCTGCTCAGTACCCGGTCGCTTATCTTTGCTGAGCTCCACCAGTAAATATAAGGTGACCGTTGGAGAGGTTCATCGCCGATTATCACCACCGGAGTGCTTGAATGCATCCCTACTTGGTGGTGTACTACGGAGGTCAGTAAAAATTAGCCATGTGAAAAAAATATCAACTGTGCAATAAAATAGTTGTGCATCAAGTTATGAGAATGTTTGCTGATAAGGCGGTAAGATCGAACAGTTTCTATGCCGCTAGAGAGAAACAAAACCCAATCAAGGAGTCGTCTATACTGGAATCAGTGGAATGGCAGATGCAATAGTTACTGTATCCCCTTGTATAATAAATTGTGGAGCATGTTGACGAAAGGAAATGGTCTGGTTAATATAAATGCAGTATATAAAAACGAGAGAGAAAATTCAGCATCCCACTCTGTTTTCTATTTCTGGGATGTATCTTCGAGAGAGCTTAGAGAGAGCCTGAGCAAATTAAGCCGGAAGGCAAATGGAAAATTTCTCTTATTCACTGCGATTTTGATGAGATGGTCGATGCGAATAGAAATCTAATGGATTTTAAGTTGATGCGGCCTTATTCACAAACCCAAGATTAAGCCATCACAAGGCATTTTCATGAGGGCCTGGCTAAAGGTCACAGATGGCACAGAATACTGCATAATAAACCTATCTGGCAGCGCTGCTTTAACTTGTTCTAATAAATTTTGCACCGTGTGTATCAGAGTTTTATTATCATTTTAATTTCGGCGCCTGCTGGACGGCAACTATATAATCTCAAAAGTTTTTGTGTGTGCGGTTGTCATTTGCTTTCACGTTAATTACTGCAAACAAACAACCAGTATCAGAATCGGAACTGTTATGGAGTACGGTAGGTTGATGTATGGGTCGTTGACGTGTAGCATAGTGTTTTATTTGTTTTAGGGCCAAATCGAAGAACGGCGGCCGCTCGCTGCGAGATAAACTGGAAAAGATTGGTCTTAACTTGCCAGCTGGTCGTCGAAAGGCAGCCAACGTCACTTTGTTAACTTCGCTCGTTGAAGGTACCCTTTTTTGTAAAAAAATTGTAAGGCCTTATAAAATACTATTAATTTGCATCTCATACTTCTCTGGTGATCGGCTTTCTTAATTCTGTTAACATACGTAAAATACTTGACAGCAAAAATGTCTACAAGCTAAAATGCCACAAATTTGTGAATAGTAATGAGCCACACAAGACACGTGCAGTGCTCGCAACGTTCGTTGATTGTCAAAGTTGGAGAGCTTCTAGCTGCAGCCTTCGAGGCCATTATGTCTAGAGGTCACTAGTTGGGTGTGTTGCACGAAACAACAATAATTTTATGCGGTAACCTAGAGCGAGACCCATGGTGAACTACTCCCATAATAGCCAGTATATATTATGATTCATTAGCCACAGCATTTGTATATGTGTGCGTATATGGTCCTGCTCGGAGACATTTTTTGGCACAAAAGGTTTTTACATACTTTAGAACTTTGGGCGTGTAGCTAAATCTGGCATTAACTCAAGGCAAGAAATGGCCGACGTCTCTGCTAGATACGAGTATTTCACAACATATTTTGCTTACCATTAGATATTTCACTAACATGCATGCGCATGCGGATAAAAGTTTCGAATTTGTTTTTTGTGACATGATCTGTATATCAGACAAATATTTTCTACATTTAAATTTTTTCACTATACTGAGTGTTTTATATATAATTTTATTCTCTGAAATTTTTATCGCGTTCATCAGTAATGTATTTGCAGATCAGGGCGATAGCGACAGCGCGTCAATTTGCCGGCATCTCGGGCTAAACAATTTTGTTCATATTATTATGTGTTTCCACAATAGGCAAAGGTGTCACTTTCAGTTCGTTTTGGCACAGTAATTGAGTAACCTGGTATTTATTGAAAATCATATTGGTGTTTTTCATGCTCCATGTCGTTGATTACTTGACGAAGGCAGCGATTACGCGGAAGGACACCATAATTACCGCAATTAATCAGCAAACCATCCTTCGTAGCTGGGTCATAATCCTTTCACAGAAAAAAGTTTTTCTGATCAAATCTCGCCATAACAGCCGGAGCAGTACATGACAGTTTAAATGACGGATAATTGCGGTACTTTTAACAAATATCTAAAAAACTTGAAATAAAATGCTGCAGGCTAATATCATTGTTCGTTATGCGCAAGACGTTTGCTAAGTGAATATTGGCATAAATCTTTGGCGAGAGATGGCAGACTGGATCGATAAACCAACAACGTGACCTTGTAGATTGGTTTTTGTGTAGCGTTTCAATAGCGATAACTGACCTTATTCCGCTTGGCAAGGAAGCGCTATTAAGGCAAAATTTTAGCTGATACCTGCAGCTGAACAAATTACGTACCTGTACGCGATTTATTCAAATCATATCATAACCAATGTCAAACATATAGTAATTTTGCTGAAAAAACTCCATAACAATAAAAGAAATAATTATTTAGCATCGCTTCTAACGGTTTTCTTGTTTGTGTAGGCGAAGCGATTCACTTAGCACGAGACTTTGGATTTGTATGTGACCAGGAATTTCCTGCTCGCCACGTTGCCGAGTATTGTTCGCGACAGCACGTCGATCCCAGTGACATTTACCGTCGTAAAGAACAAGTTCATCATGCAAAGTAAGTATTTTGTAACAAGATTTCCAGTATTTTAATCAATTATGAGTTGTAAAACTTTAAAAGTTTGCGTTGCCACAGTACACAGCTTTCTGCTTTACAAGGCATGAGTATAAAGCATGATTCTGTGAAATTCTGGCAAGGGCACCAAGACGTGGTAAATAGTGTCGCCTTGGTCAATCATTTCAACTTTTTCCGGTTGACTAAGCTCGAACTCACCATTGGTAACTTTATCAAAATATAATCATATGAAAATTGGATGTGACAAGACAGAACGACTTTGCAAAGCCTTTGCTCGCCCACGTTCGTCGTGTGGGGTCAAGCGAAAGACTTATCACAGGCCGGGTTTTTGTTTGTCGCCTTCGTTCCTTGTTTTTTATTCGGGTAATTGACGCATTCGTTAACGTATCCATTTGTATAAATCAGTGTTCGTAATCGGTCCGGTTAGTCAACCGATGACAGATGTTATCACAATTACCAAAATGGTTGATGACCTTTGGAAAAATGCGTTAAATATTCGATACTGAAACACAATAATACGTTGTATTTTAAGCACGACATAAATGTTTTATGAAATATGCTTTTCTGAAAATATTCTTTCACCTGGACTAGGATATTAAGTCACTCAATTAGTCCGAAAAATACAGAAAACTAAACGATACGGATGAGCAACCCAATTTCAGTGTTGTTGTGTTGATAACATAAAGCATGTGCACAAATTTCACGCAATGAAGAACGAGCTTACAATTAATTTTAGGTAAGAACACAAAATGTAGATTAGAATAAGAGCAAAGATTTCATGATTTTCGTTGAATAAGTTTTAAATTCTTGTGATAACTGACAAACTGTTTCACAGGCAAATGCTCAAGGAACTCTCCGATGTTTTAACACAAGACCGTTCACCACTTTGCAATACCAGGCCGCAGCCGATTCTCGAACCCGGTATACAGCGTCATTTGACCCATTTCAGTTTGATAACCCACGGATTCGGCAGTCCGGCAATATGCGCAGCAATTACTGCCATTCAGAATCATCTCACAGAATGTCTGAAGTATCTGGAGAAGAATTATCCCGGTACCATGAACGGTACGACCGATATGAACGGCGGCAAGATGAAGGAAAATGAGAAGAAATAATACATAATCTACAGTAGTATTTTCCAATACTGCATGACACCAATACTCGGATGGGAAAAGATGCTCGTGTCGAATTCGTGTATAAACATCCCCGTAAATCGTGAAACGCGTGCCATGACAAGATAATACAAAATCAAAGTCCTAAAAATAATTAACCCTAATTACCGTACAAGTGGTTTTTTGCACATGTTCGGGCTGAACAGGCTTTCGATATCCAAAACACGTACCGGTATTTCGTATTTTTTTCGGTAATTTCGGGTTGTTTTTCTTTGTTTGTAAGAGTTTAAAATTCATTCTAGCGCATTGCTGTTCGTCGCAAAATGCATGTGCATACCCATTTTGGTTTTGTTATATTTGTACGGAATTTTTCGTATTATTTTTAAATATGATTAATAACTTCCTTGTGTACCTCGCAGCTTGTATAGAACCGCACCTAATCCGTCTACTGTGAATGTCGATGTTACAGTGTTTGCGTTCGAAGATCATACTATTATGTCTATCATATTGCAGTCTGCTGCCAAGAATCTTGCCAACAAGAAATAAACTTATTTTGTTTTCGCTTCCCAGAAAATCTCAGTGCAAAACGCGCAAACAAGTAAACAGTGACATAAAAAACTTATCAAAACAAATATATTAAATCAGTGAGATTTATCACAACCAAATAAACAACAAGATCCGCCAGTGTACCAGTTAGCACAGAAACATATCGTATACAAATGAAAACCAAAAACTTCCGACAACGAAAATCCAGAATAACACAAGAGACGGAATCACCTTTTAATCTGAGCCAGAGCAGCTTTAGAAGCATTGCACTTTGCAGCGCGAGAGTTATTACCTTTCCCAACAAAGGTCCCTTTGCCTAAGACTGTCACCTGGACCAACGTTTTCCCATTACTCAAACGTTCGGCTGACCTGGAAAGATGAAGTAAAACTGAATACCAGTTTTCTTAGGATTAGTATGCGAGTACTCACCCAAACCGACAATTCACGCCTTCCCGTTCCATTAGTTCCCGAACTGGATTTATCGGACAATTTTTCGTGAAGTGTTCTACAAAAGTTCATGTTGAATTACATATTTATATGTCAAGCTTGTTGCAATTAACCTGTAACTTCTTAAGTTACCACAGTACTTCGGCGCCTTCATAACACGCACCGTTCGTGAACTACCTGCCACAGCTACTTATTATACGCACACAGGTCGCATTGATATTTTTATACCGATAATTTTTTATTTGTGGCAATCGGTAGTTATACTGTTGTACCTAACTGCATCGTTTTTGGATGCAAAAATTTAATACCATTATTATGTCATGCAGAAAACTCGTAACGTGTTGCTGTATACGTCTACAACCATCAAGTATGCCATTTACTCACCTATTTGGGCTCGCATAATATTGTAATAGACCTTCCACACCGTATCGAGTGACAAACCACTGTCTAGAAAGATTGCCCCGGCTACCGCCTCGAATACATCTCCCAAGGCTTTTGGAGCTTCTGGTTCTTCATACCCGATATCGACGTCGTCATCATCTTTATCGTCGTCAAAGTCAGCAATCAACTATTGGCAAAAAATTATGATTATCATTAATAAAACCAAGATGGTTTGGTTTCCCTTACAAACGCACAAGCCATAAATAAGAACAGATTTATTAATTTATCACTTCAGAACTACCGTACCATTTCCTCTTGCAGCGGCAACACATCCTGATGTTTCTCCTGCACCGTTTGGACAAATAAGTCGATGGTATTATGTAAATGGAGACTTTGGAATTTAATATGATTGTGATAATTGTATTTAACAGCTAATGTAGAAAATGTCAGATTATTGACCAAAGCTGAACGCAAGTCTGACATCACACCGGGAGCATGACTCCTGCAATCAGGGGCACCATCAAGCAAGCCATAACAAAAATTCAAAACTGTTAACCTTACTTGAAATCTTCATAAACGTAACGGGTTATTAAGAAATCGATAATGGCATCACCGAGAAATTCCAGCCTCTGGTAGCAGTCCGTAATGGAATTGGGTTCATATGTCGAATGCGTGAAGGCCTGCAGTAAGAAGGCCTTGTTCCGGAATCTGTAACGCCAAAACCTTCATCAGTTGTTTACGAGGTTTCAAGATATGCCATCACTACCAAGTCTGAGGCCCCACAAAATGTCAGCAGTAAATGGAAATCGACGTGCAAACTATGAACAGAGCGTCCATCTAACCTGTATCCTATTCGCCGTTCAAAATCGTCGAATCCCGCCGTCAGCTTGCATAGTTCGGCATCAACATCCGCACCCATTCTAAGCAACGGAGAGGTAATATCTTCCGCACGAAACACTCCATATCTGTCAACAGATGGTCCTTCTTGGGGTGCATTTGTCGTTTCCGGCAGTACACACAGCCCCAACCATGACATAAACACCTGCGCACTGCGGGCACTAGAATTGATGAGAAACGTGCCTATCAAAGCTTCCATAACGTCGGCAATTGTCTTGTCTTCAATGGGTTGGTGTACGCGAGCCGATGGAAATTTGTCCGCCTTGGTACCTGAATTTGCCAGCATCTCGTTGGATTCCTGCTCATCAAAAATATAACCAGGTGGGACGAAATTATCTCCTGGATTAAACTCTTGATTCAGGACATAGTTTTGAAGATCTTTGGTTTTCGCTAGGCGATAAAGATTAAAATTCGATACAAACTGATCGCACAGTTGCGTCAGTCTTCCTTCTTGGTGTTGCCTGAACCGGAAATACACGTAAACATACGATGAGAATTTCAAAAACGTGTCTCCAATAACTTCTAAACGTTCCAAATTGAATCCATCAGCCACTTTGGCGGATGTCACGGCGTTCAACAAGTGATTCAGATCAGGTAAGGGTAGTTTCCGTACATCCAAAGAAAATTCAGCATCTATAGAAAACGGACATTCAAAAAGGGCGGGAGAGCATCCAGATGCCGGGAGATCGTAATAAAAATCGTTAGCTGATGTATCGGAAGATGCAGGGCTCTTTGGAGAGGGTTCTTCTACTTTCATGACCTCATAGTCATCGACTCCCTCATCCGCCAAACTATAAAATTTATGACGGACAAACTGAGTGTAGACTAATCCGAAATCATCAGGAAGTTCATCTGCTTCTGTTTCGATACGTTCAGGCTCTGATGATGATTCCTTTTCGGGCATTTTGTTACCTGAAGTAACAAACGAAGCGAAAAATATCAAATAAGGGTCGTGCGTGTCCTTTAAATTGTTCAATTAGTTTTGCGAACATCGTACAAAGCCCGTTTCGTTTTCAGTACTATATATTTCCATTCAAAACTGCATCCAGATACCTACCACTGACAACGGCTACCGACATTTCTTGGTCAGTGTCTTGTTGGAGATAACGCTGAGATGCCCCTTCGATATCCCTTTGCGTTTTCCCTTGATAAACCAACGGCGGCCAGCTGTCCGGTTCGACAGTGTCAATTCCAATACCAGTTTCGCTTTTCAGTCGGCGATACAAGGAGAGCATATGCGAAAACCAACGCATGCGATGCTGGAGCGACGGAAGAACAAGACACTTGATGTACAGCGGCGCAGGCATGGGAAAGAGTTGGCAGAGTTCTGGGACAAGCATTAACTGTCCATTACGCTTAGTTTCTGCACGGGAATCTTTCGCTGTTTCGTCCGGTTTAATACCGTGATAAACAAACTTTATCAGATTTAGCCTGCAATACGAAAACTAGAACTTAATCTACTCAGTCAGTAGAAGTATTAAGGGTATCACACAAAGCAAAAATAGGCAATTAAAATGAAGTAAATGATGAATTAAGGTAACTGATTGCCTGACAATTGCACATTTTGTGAAACTACTCGTAATAAGTTAACTGTACTACCATAAACCAACCTTTTGGAACAAAAAATGGCATCCATAATTGGTTGATTCAAGTCCTGAATCTGTATTCCGTACTTCCGCTCAAAATATTCACTGAATGAAGTATATTCGTCTAATTTACAGGGTGTCGCTGGCGTCATATCATCCCGCATATTCGTAATGAAAAAGCGGTCATCTTCCGGCTTATACCAGCGCACTACAACGCCATCGACGAAACTTGTCGGTTTAACCTTCCGATACCGCCGCTCTTCTTCCGGAAGAGAAATCACGGAGTATTGAGCAGGATCTTTAATGCGATCAATCATTTCCCAGTCAATCCCGTACAGGCCTGCACCAGTGAGTAATTTGGTCAGCGGCACCACGTAGAAAGCTTCACTGTCCAGATTCTCGTCGAAATGCAACGCGATGGCTTCGATAAACAGAAGTGCTTGCTCATAGATGGCACAATGAGCTTTTTGTATATCGTCCAACTTTTGGGAATTCAGAATTATGGAATCGCTTAGCAGCGACAAAGTTATCTGATATTCCGCTCTGCACATATAAACATTAAAAGCTGGGAAGGGCGGCATGGCACATCTCGACAAGAAACCGATACATCTGGAATCATCGGCGAGAAATCTGGAGGAATCATCTTTTAGAAAAGACCGCTGATGCTCAATTCGAATTAGGTACAAATGGCAGGGCATTCCCACGATTGGACGGCAACGATTCAGAAGCGATGCGGTCTAAATGAAATAGGACCAAATCAAAATTCAAATGATAAGAACGAACCCGATACAGAATAAAAAATAATAATAATATAGATTATAAAGATTAAAGAATACCGTAATACACTAACAATTTACGTGTACCATACAGTCCTCTATATTTGTTTACGCCTATAAAGCGGAGAGCAATTTCAAGCGCGTGATCACTGGCACTGATTTTGTAGGGATAATACCTACCGAAATAAAACTGCGGCTTAGACTGCAATATTGCGATTACAAGAAACATGATTACAACCTTTTTAGGATAGAACTGTTTCCGACGCTTTGATCCTGCCGCTCCTTCTCCCTCTGTTGTTGGTTCTTTCTGCCGATCGCCAATCATTAGGAACATGTCATCCTGATGAGTTTCCACGATTGGTAGCAAGTTTTCATCCAAAACTCCCTTGTTGTACAGTTCTTCTACGCACTGTAATGCCGCGGCTTGCTTTGCCAGTTTTCTGGACTTTTTAAATGGACCCTACGATGCAACAGTCAGTCACTTCTCAGTTTGCAGCTCCACTGGCGGTTCAAAACAACTGTTTATTCGTACGGTAACAGGATGCTTTAAAGCAGAGTCCAGTCTCATGTAAATCCGGAAAGCATATAATCCTGAGCTACTGTGAATGTATTTGCCATGAACATTTCCAGCGGAGAAGCGTAATCGAGGTTCAAGGGAATTGCAATACCTAGCTCAAATCAATACGAAAAATTCGCGTATCGCTACAAACTTATTATACAAAGTTATGATTACCGCATTATACGTGCATGCCCACAATAAGATGAGTTTGTGATATTTAGCACTTTTTAAGGGGGTATCCAAATACGAGTACTTAGCTATAACTCCTGTAGCGCAACGAAAAATAATTACGCACTTCTGCAGCAAGGTAAGTGCTGTATTTAAAGTTGCCATAGCTTTCGAACCAGGAGGACTAAAGTGGTCCGATTTATCCGAGAAGTGCTGGGACTGCGTATCCATATCAGGAACCACGCGTTCCACACACATATCCTTGAGGCGCTGGTCCAATTTGTCATATTCGTCCAGTTCACGCTTTGTCTTATCAAAGGAATCCGAAAACACAATATATCTGGAATTCTGCGCTCTTGCGCGTCCTTTTGACTGGACGTATGAGCAGTAATTCGACGGTTTATCGAGCCTATAAAGAAAAACATAACTCATAAATATCTGGAAATTCGAAAAGAGATCAAGTGTAACGCAAAGCTGAAAAGCTTGCAGTTGGAAAATATAATCAGTGGTCGAATGAATGCACAAAAAACAGAGGCGTGCACATAATGTTGTATCAGATGACACAAGTTCGAAAACGACTAAAGCAAAAAAAAATTTCCGGTTACCGAATAATCAGATTGCAGTCGGGAACATCCAGACCTTCTTCCACGACATTCGTGGCGATCAAAACATTTACAGCACCTCGTCGAAATTTCTCCAAAGTGGCTGCTGACTGTGCATGATTTAAACCCACTCGATAAGGTTTCTCGCCTGAAAAGCGAAAATTTTAGCTCTTAGTTTTCACTAAAATATCCACGTAATCTTCCGCACCATCGCTTCCCGACGGCAGCAGTTGACCCACAAGATACCCAGATTTAATGAAAGAAAATTCTCCAGATCCGCCGACGGAGAGGAAGGAAAAAAACTTAGCCAATGCCCATGCGTCGAATCGGGACTGCACAAATACAATACAACGCAAACCCCTAGATGCATCTACAAAAAGAGAAACTGAAAATTACAAAATGTTTGTCTAACCGTAAGACAAATACGTTTTGGCGAAATTCTGCAAATACACTAACCATATACGGCTTTCTACACCCATAAAATATTTTTAACGGGAGTGGTTTACCTTCCACTTTTTCACTAGGTTTGTTGGCCATCATTACATCCATAAGTTTGCGTAACTTTGGAGAAGCCACTTCTGATATCGCTTCGATATCCCCTCGCGGAATGTTCTTTGTGTGCTTTTTTATTTCCAGTAACGATCCAAAAATATGCAGCTCACTTATAGCACTCAGTGCGGGATTAACAAGCTCCTTGTAGAAACATTTATTGCGAATTAACAATTCAAAATCCTTTTTCACCATACAGGCCACCTAAGAAAACCAAACGTAACATAAATAATAAATATCCAGATCCCTGATCCTCTTATGACACATGCCTACGAGTAATATTTTCTAAGTAGCATACGTACGCGCGCAATGTATACCGCAAAGTGCATTGTGCCAAAAGTGAATATTATATCACATTGTTCTACCTGGTAAGCACACCACGGGCCCAGTGAACGGTATGTTTCCCTCATCTGCGACAGGGAAGATCTCAGAAGCTGGAGGGATCTATGGACACCCAGCTGAAAATGCTCATCCGACATTCCATGGACGTCCACATTCCCTGCCTCACTGGCCGCATTAATTAGGATTTCTCTCAGATATGTTTTTGCAGAATCAAGCCACTGAATTGTTTCGTCAAGTTCAGAACAAATTTCAGTGTCGTCATCGTTGTCAGACTGCGGCTGCAAAATTAAAAAAAAATCGTTAAATATTCTCTCCGATCAAATTCAATCACACTAAATCCTGACCTCCTATACAATTATAAACCACACCAAAACCAATAAGATTCAAAATAATTGTGGCAGGTTTGTAAATCGGAATATGCAGATAAAACGATTTACAAATTTAAAACTGTGCTGACCATATAAATTGTTCTTCTATCAGATAAATCACCTGAAAAACTTCAACGGATATTTGCGGTTTAGCTTCGTATAATCCAACCGTTTCGTCCACGGATGTACAAACTTTGGCTCCCAGACATTCTTCGCGTTCTGCTATCAACGCATTCAGACCGTCCAGATTCCTTAGTTTGCACTGCACGACGGATGCCGTCAGACCCAAGATGCGGGGACGTTCGGAAGATGGACGTTTTTCTATGTAGCGCATTATCTCTCTGTAGGAATGACTCTTCCCGGCACGATGACACTCGTCCAAAATCAGCAAATTTATGCGTGACACGTCTATAAGTAGAGGTATTCACAGTAAAATACGAATTCATCTGTAAAGAAACAATTTTTTCTACAATCAGTCTTTGGTCTTAATAATCGTTATACGGTTACAGAAATTGTAACAGTCACGGTAATTCTTTCACTGAACGGAACCTTTAATAAGTATCGAAGTAAAAGTACAAACTAAAGTACCAGAACGGATGAAGGATGGTGGAAATCAATGAGACCAAACCATTACAGCTCCTTGGGGGCAAATGCCCACTCACGCACCCCGATGTTAGGGGGCCAGTTATCGGGGGTGAACATTTTTTCGGTTTCACTAGCGTAAGAACCAACACGTGCTAACAGACTATTCTTACGGCCGTTTTTAGCAGAATAGATCGAAACAAATCTCACAGAGATTCCAATAGATTCAATAATTGCCTTGAGATCCTTGCTGTACTCGTCGAGAGTCTGGTGTTCGGTCTGCTCCCGAGGGGGGATGCCATGTAGACAAAAGTCCTTTTTCACCTTCTCTTTCTCAGCTCTGGGGGCTCGCCGGATCTGCAGGGCAGACATGACGATGTCCTCGCTGGCGCTGGTGGTTTTTTCACGCGTGCCACGGACCACTTTTCCTTTTTTAGCTACGGTGGCCCAGGATGCTTTCGAGTCCGAAGCGTCAGGGGGGGTTTCATCAAAGCGCGGTTGGGGGACTTTCATGTCAGGGGTTGTGTGTGGCTCGTGTGGGGTATCGGTGGTGGAGGGTTTCTCCACAGGCGTCTTGGCAGGAGTCTTGGCGACCGATCGAAACCCGGAGGGTTGGAGTACTAATCGGCCGACATCGACGGTGCTCATGGAGGGTACAGGCTGCGCCGTTTTTACGGCATTGATTTCGTCCCTGAGAACCAGTAGCGACATGGAGATGTCATCATACTTTTTCTGACGTTCTTGTAGCTCTTTCACTTGGGCTTCCAATGAAGAAAGCTCTGCTTTCAATCTTTGGTTTTCTTGCACGATCGGTGAGATCAGCGCAGGAACTTGAGTATCGATACACTTGGTGATGAGGCCGTTGAGATCCTCGTGGTAGACTGGGTATTTCTGTACGTTCTCCAGATCACTGGCAATGGCCGGAATCATCTTTCGTATCAAGGGTATCAGCCTTCCGAAGGACCATTGATCTTTGGCCGTTCCATCAGGGAATAGGCTAGAGAGTTTCTCGATGGAAAAAGGCTCATAATTATCTTCAGCATCATGGGTATTATCGCTGGCTTTCTCAGCCATGTTTGCCAAACTGACCACAAGCGATGGCCCCACAATCAGGTTTTAAAATTAAGTCACATAATATAAAATAATCAAGGTAAATTATTTAGTTGGTGAAAATTTGAAAAGTTGAATTCTTTCACTGATTTAACGGCTTATGTTACTCACTCTCCTATTACTCAGTCGTTGGCCAAACAGAAATATAGGAAACTTGACATGTCATTGACATGTCTAAAAATGCACAGCGCACCTAAAATCCAATTATGCAGAAGGTCTTTTAGGACATCTGGTACCATGAGCAACATCTGATGCGCCCGAAACTCAGCTTCCCACGACTCTTTGTTCCATTTAACGCATATTCCGCCATGGTATCCCTTGACAGATATTGGCAGCCACCGTCGAAAGTATTTCGCTTGCTGATCAACCAGCGGGACTAGGCAAAAAAAACGACACTTCCTAATAATTATGTTGTTACTAACCTACTACTAACAAATTAGTATTAAGTAGTTGCTAATAAATTAATAAACAACTTCTGGAAATTCGCAAACCATGCATTAAAGCTTAAAAAAACACATAACAAATTGAATTAAGCTGTGTGTATTTTTTTAACCTGTAGGAACCACCATTATCGTTCGTTTTCCTCCTTCATCCCAGGGTACCGTGATTTCGAACAGCAAGCGTTTACACACACCCACAGCAATCTGAGTCTTCCCCATGCCTAAACCAAAAGCGTTCGCTTAAGCAATATTCCAATGTCCAGGTTGCAGATTAATGACAGCAAACGTCACAGCAACATTATTTAACTACGAATAAACTAAAAAGCTTATAATTTCCGGGATTCCCACTTACCAGTTCCCAGAGCGCAGATGACGTTCTCTTTCAGTGCAAGGTCGATGAGCTCGTCCTGCAAAAGTATTCATGCTTTTGCAAAAGTATTCATACTTTTGCAAAATAGAACGCTCGCAATGCGACGTCTGCGACTCTGTGGCTTGCAATGTAGAAAACTAATGAATCCCACACTGTACCTGGTAAGGGCGATTCTGTATATCGTCTGCCAACGCAATGTCTGCCAAATCAATGTTATCCTGATCGCCAAGGTTTTCGTCCACTTCCATACTCGTAGAGAAATCTGCAGCCATTCTGCAGTCCTGCGCTAAGTGTGTGAATTTTACCTGTTTGAATTTATGCGCCACTCGATTAAATTGTTCGCAGTTATAGATCAAACTCCAACTGTTCAACTACGGCTGTTGCGTTGATACCGAATGGATAAAAACAAACACGAAATCTGAGAAATTCGAATGTTCGCAATGCGAATTTCAGTACATCTGTGAGTCTGCGGCCATCGTCTACTACTAACTCTACTCAGTACTCGAACTCACGCTGCTGTTTGCCGCAAACAGTAGCGAGTCAACTTGAAAAAGTACGAAAAACGCAAATGCGTTGTAGTTTGCGTTTTTCAAGTTGACTCAGTTGAGAAATTTGGGAATAGTCCGGAAAATCGCTGTTCCCAACATTTTTTCTTTTTTCAAGCTGAGAAGTTTCAAGGTTTCAAGTGAGAACCATGAAACTTTATGAAACTGTTATAGCGGGCAGTGCGTTCGGAATTCTGGCGCTGGCAGAGGAGCAGAGCTATGCGAGAGATTTTCGGCCAGGGGATTCAATCTTCACCGTTTTGGCAAATGACGGGAGGACTCCGCTGAAGTTTTTTGCAGGTAGTTCTGCAGGGTGAATCATCACCAGTTGAGTTCACCATTGGCATTAGTCGCTCTGTGCACGTGGGTTTCCACAATATTTATCAGCATACTAGTACTAGTACATGATCACCCTAGAGTGTATAAACCATAAAATTAACCGCTTTTAGCCTTTTTTGCAGAAATGTGGTACAACATCTTTTTGTGGGAACTGTTTGCGTCTTTCATCATGCATTCCATAGCTGGCCTGATATCCATCATAGCCTTGCGCAGGCATAATTTGATGCGATGGTATTCTGCAGCCATCGTTGTTGTTGGCTTGCTTTCTTCGCTGACAACAGGAGTAATTACCAGTAAGTACAATTTTATACGACGGAATAGCGCTTCCGTATCCCGTAATCGTGCGCTGTTCAAAGCGCGCTTTATAGCTGCAGACAAAGCGTACGCATATGGCGCATTGCTTACTGCTGTGTACTGTATGACTGACCAGTGAGAAAAAAGGGGGTTTTCAGCTGGCGTAAATTTTTAATTAAGCGCGTTGGGAGTCCTCCCAACTTGGGACGAAGTTACCGGAGAGGCGACTCAGGCGACCATTTCGTCATAAATTGAACGCGTATCCTTTTCTGTCGATGCTCGTATAGCTGTTACATTTAGTTCTTGGACACCCCCACATCTGGTATGCATAACCGGTTCATTGATTTCCTTTGGTTACTGTAATAGAAATATGTACGCTAATTATCTGCGTAAACAAATTTATCAAAATTACAAGCGAAAATTTTTGCAGGTGCGGCGATTGCGGGTGTTTATCGGGCTTCGAATATCCAGCTCGATCCCATTTATGCTATGGTATGGGGAGTGGGCCAGTCCGCGTTCAAAGTTGGACTGTCGTTTAACAAGATTCTGGCGTCGCTCTGACACTTACAGGGCCCATTGTTGTTGTTGCCGGCAGCCAAGGTTTCTTCGTCTAGTCCTGTCAGGATATCGGGACTCCTGCGTAGTGCAGGCTGTATAATGTACATTGTTTTTGATCTCACTTTTTGTTTTTTGATCTTCCAAGTGATCTTATATCGTGATCGGATTGCTGTTCAGTGTTTTCTACGGTTTCATTTAAATGTTCGTTTTAAATGTCTACATGATAGTTTTCACCACTTTTGACATTTGTAATAGTGATAAATGAGCGTACGAGTATGCATAATCATAATGTAAGTATGTATATTAATAAAAAAGTTTATTTATAAGTACTTTAATTCTTTATGTTAAAGTGACTAAAAAAGTAAAAGTGACCTTGCTGCTAGAATAGTATGTTGTAGGCACTAGCGCAGTTAACACTTAATAGTTAATAATTAAGAAAGAAAATATAGGTTCAAATCCGGACAGCTTCTAGCCCGCTGTTCTAGCCCTAGGCCGTCGAATTTTCGTCTTCTGATTTCTGAATTCGTCTTCATTCTTGACGCTTGAGTCTATGGCTGCGTCGGCTTAGGACCATGCGCTTATGGCTATCGCTTTGTCAGCTGTCATTGGCATCTTCGGTCAGTGGGCGGTGCATCTCTCCAAGATCTTCCCTTTCCGCCGTTTCCGGTATGTACGTACTAACGTTAGCAGGTTGGTAGTACTAGTGGTATCACGCGTAGTACGTAGTACGTAGTATGCAGTGCTATTAAACGGTAAGGGGGCATCCATAAATTACGTACGCAGAGAACCACGGTTTTTTCACCCCTCCCTCCCCCTTCGTAGCGGTCCGTCACGTTTGCTTGACCCCTACCCCCTGGTTCGCTCAATCGTAACACATGAAGCTGACCACCCCCTCCCCCTTGGGTTCGCCGGGGCCGTCACAGCTTGTCACGTTTTTTGGACCCGTCCCTCCCTGGTTCGCTGCGTACGTAATTTATGGATCCCCCCTAAAGCACGGACTAACCATAAAGTACGTACGTCCCGAATACCGATGATCCGCTTTTTGCCTTTTCAGTTTTCATGATACAATTTCGAGTTTCTGGCCTGTGATTGTGAAATCACTCTGAATTATTTCGGGTATTGGTAATAACTATTAGTGGGTGTTCTGGTTACATTCTTACTTGTTTAAAATTACTGTAATAATTTTTATTAATCAAAATACAACACACAATTATTAACTCGATTCACGTAAGTACTGGCTGTACAGCCAGTGCCAATCAGGCCAGCGGAAGCGGTGTTGTGTTGAAGTGTGCTGCCGGTTACAGGAGCGCCGATCTTTGCGCGGTATTTTGTCCAGCTGATAATAGTCATTCGGCGAAGCAGATAAGTAAATTGCTCGTAAATTGGTTTTAATATCTGTTTCGTCTCGGGTACTGATTTGAGGGATTTCCTGGTAGAAAACAAGACCTCAATTAAGTGTGAGAAGGTCGCCGAAGTTCATCTGGAAATCCGAATTACAGATAATCGTAAGTTTAATTTGAATGTTAGAGTTAGTAAACTGTAAACATTCATATTTGGAACTGCAGAGTATAGAGATTTCATACCAAATTTTTATACACATCCAGATTGCCCAGATTGCGAAGATTTTCCAGGTAAGGTAAAGTCTCAAAGGTGTGATGACGAGGCAGTGCATAGAATGATAGTGGTAGAACTAACAAAAATTTCCACAATTGCAATTCGTCCCTGTGGTGTTTTAGATTGTAATGTTATTGTTGACTAGAAGTTCTTTAGCGTATCTGCGTATGCCATATGATCGAACTTTGCAAGTGGTCTGTTATGATGGTTCATATTTTTCCGTGTAGATCGATCATAAAAAAGACGAAAATCGCTGAAGATGACGTCCTTGAAAGAGCAGCACAAAAGTCTTGCGGATGCCATGAATGATTTCAAGAGATCTCTGAAAGGAAGTCTTGAACTCAGCCGCGATCACGACGACTGGGATAAATTGGGTTTCGTCATCGTATGTGATGATTGCACTACTTATTGCAAGATGTGATCTGCATAAATCATAAAACTAAGAGCACACCGGAAAAAAATCTTGGAACAGTATTTTCTTCTAACGGTATTTGTTTTCAGGAGGAAACGGCGGAGGCGTTAAAGCAGGCCGATCTGGAAATCCGAAAGCGGTAAGTAAAACGTACGCACTATACCGGTATCCTGCATACAAGGCTGCCAGTGTGGCACTGCATTTCAGTAGAAGTATTCCTGGCATATCTGTCAGACTGCGCGGGTCAGTTCCCGTTGTATTTTGTAAATGTTGTTAATAAAACATGTTGTTTCGAAAACTGCATTTTTCTTATAACTTCCCAGGCTGAGATTTTCAAATTTAGCCGAAGCTTTTTTGGTTTCTTTGTTTGAGAAGATTAATTTATACAACTAAATCCATTTCTCTTCAAATTGGCATTGACGTATTCCATCCACTAGCTGGGCGTTTCTGTATTTCCCTATGCATTCTCTGCATTTTTCGTGTCTTGCAGCGCATAATTGCTTTTCATAATGCGATTCGATTAGCGATGTTGGTTCCGTTTAGTGCCGCTAGTGCATTTTGAGTGGATGCTGAGAAGTTTTCGCTACGATAAGGATAGAATATGCTGTAATATTTGCCTTTGTCAGTCTTGAGAACGTCTCAACATTCAGCACAATACCCAGCTTCCTGTGAGTTAGTGGGGGAATAATCGATACGGCAATCAGGCGCTTTTTTTATTAAACTAAGGGCACACCAATGACATTCGCTTCAAGTGGATTGCATCATCATAGCTGCAGCGGGGTGTGCATTTTCCTTGCGTGGTCCTGTTACATTAAATGACATTTTGTCAACATACTCTGGGTCGCACCTGTTCCCAGTTTGTCGATTCATAAACCTATTGACTTACGATTGCGTAACAGCGGATTTTCGTCCCGTTGTGGTACAATAAGATTTTGAAAATTTGAAAAAACGGGAGAAGTAGTGCTGCTTTAAAACCTAAACATTACTGCTACGAAAAACAAACTGTCATTCAAATAAATTTTTTCGTTATCTAATAGTAAGTAGGTACTAGGAATATCTGTACGAGTATGCCTTTTTTTCATAGCTAGCGGTAGTTCCTGTGCATGTTTTATGCGCCGGTGCTGAAAATTTACTATCCCTGTGCCTTTCCTATCAGAAGAATGATTGCTTACTCGTAACTTCGTAAGCGTGGAACATTTACAGTAAGTCGTCTTTGAGGTTTACCAGTATACACATTAAACTGATACCAAATCAAAAGTTGTGAGAATGCATGCATTGCTATATATGTTTGATTTGGCGAAGAATTTGAAAATTTGTTGGCTGGTAACTGGCTCGGCTACAGAGCTTCACTATTAACCATAAGATATCGTTTGATTGTGCCGGTATCAGCTTTTCCCTTTTATGTTTGTATTTGGTGTAAATATTGTGCACTGCGGCCCGGCACTGCATTAGTTTATTCATGATAGTATTTTCCATACGATTTTCAGTATGCTGGCTACAGTACTTGTAAATGTTATGAATGCTTTTGTACAGCAATATTCTGTCTGATTCTGTAATAACATTTTCCAGTGAATTATTATTAGCTAGATATACGACAAATCTACATTCACTGATTTGTGTAAAGCGTGCTGTTATTAATAAGTGCCAGTTTGCCACTTTTGTATTTACAATAATTATGGAAAACAGAGCGGTACGCCAAAGTTCTGACGATAAGCGATATTACTTGCTGTATAAATTGAGTATACCGCGTGTCCCCTGTATACTACTGAGAATTCTCTTTAAATGGTTAGTCAAACTGTTTATTTATGAGCGTAGGATACCGAGCGGAAAGCGTTTTTATTGATCGCTTTCAACATTCTTTGTGATATGTGCATATTAAGTAGACTGTCAATGCGGTAATAAATCGTTTCCGTCGAGTTCTGCTTATAAGGCGGTTTAAGTCTTGTTATAATGAAAGAATCAATACTCGTATGGATGCTTTTATCACAAAAGTATGTATATTTTGTGTGATTCTTTGTGGATTAGATTATAATAACATAATTTTGCGTAGTCGTAATTTGTGAACCAGTTATCTAAAATCGGATAAAGTATACTGTTACTACAACATCGAAATTACTTTGAATGAGTTATATTAAATGCAGTTTTCCTCATTGTCAGCTACAAATTTGCAGTGTAGCGCACGTGCGTACAGAATATTTGTAAATTTTCGTTACTATTAATATACTAAAAACTACGTTTGCAGATATCCACCCTATCGCGAACGTAAAAATCCGTTCCAAAACTTTACCGGCCTGCCGACGGCCTCCACGACTGGTTCTGTCAGTTCCCACGTATCGACCAGTAGTGGGAACGTAGTCGCTCCTGTGCCATTTGCACCGGTAAACGGATTCGGTCGTGGAGATGCAGAACAACCAGGAAATAACCGGAATAACCAGAGGTATTTGAATAAGCCTGATTTACTGAGTGAAGCTGAGCGAACAAGAATTGATCGCGCGAAATTCAACAAATCTCCCACTAAAATCAACCATAAAACAAAGAACGACTGGCTGGATTCGGAAGGCCCCAAAGAAGAAAATCCTTTGTGAGTGATGTTTTGTAAATCTATTATGTGTGTGTTTTCGGTGCGTTTAAGGAATTACTTTGCTTGGTGTACAGTAATGTGTTGTGTACAGTAATTGACAAAAAAACACACTTTTTATGATTAATTATAATTATGATTTTATTAATTATATTACTTTTATAATTAATTTAGGGCTAATATGACAAGTGAACAGCAAACGAGATGCAAGGATTAAGCGGAAACGTTTGTGTTTTCGATCGACAGCGCAAGTTTTTTGTTGTTCCAGTGGGATTTTTGTACCCGGCTTGTCGCCGAATACCAAAGAAAATGACATGCGGGCTGCTTTTGGTTCATATGGACGGATTACAAAGGTGATCATCCATCGCGATAGCCGCACTAATGAATCGAATTTGGGAAAAGTTTGGTTTGAATCGAAAGAACCTCCGAAAAGACTGATCAGAACGACTGTAACTGTGAATGAACGCTTGGTGACGATTGCTCCCTTATATCAGGTATGCCAAAACTTCGCCTTTTATTTTTGTATTTTCGGACATTTATTTTATCGGAAGCAGGGATTTCGCAGTTACAATTATTAAGCAGACTAATTATTTTATTTGATAATAGGATTTACAGCGCACAATAAATTTTATGAATTGTTTATTGTGCGCTGTAAAGCCTGTAATGGGATGTTTGCAGTGTTGTACCTTAAAGAATAATTCTTAATAACGAAACTTTTGTCGGTTGTTGGAAATCTGTCTTTTGTGGTTAATAACTTCGATTTTTTTTACAGAAACCGCGTGTGGACAGAGAAAAATCAGAACAAGGTTCTGCGACAACCGTAACCTCGGGCCAACAATCCAGTCGAACGGTGGAAACTTTGCGCGAAACAACCATTTCGCGCAAAGTGCCGTCTGATAGCGGAAGTTTGCCGGATGCTGCTGGGAAATGTATGATGTGCCCAAAAAAGGTCGATTGCGTTCTGAGTTGTGGACACCGAGTGGTATGTGGAAGTTGTGCGGATAAACTGGCTGTTTGTCCTCAACACGACTGTGGAAGAAAGGTGGAGAAAGTGCTGGCGTCGCGTATGGATAGCCGTGGGGTTCGAGTTTGATTGCACTAGTAAACGAAATGGTTCGTGGAAACGAATGACGTTGTCCCATTACTTTATTCCTTTGAATTGTCAGTTGGGATATTGGATTTTTTTTTGCAGATATTATATGGATCGAAAAGATGTGGCTGTGGTGTCATGAAGTGATCGGTTCCGCGATTTAGTATTTTTGGAGCTAATTTTGTATATACAGAAGTGTAGCTTATAATGTATTCTTGATGGAGCCGTTATAGTTATTACATGGGAAAATAACAGAACGGCATAATTTTTGAATTAACCCCAAATCCTATGCAATGTATTTTGCTGTTTTTCTTTCCTTAGAAGTCGGAGTTGGTGATTATAACATTGATGTTTTGTCCTTTAGTTTATCGGAATGTCGATCATTGTAAAATGTGGAAGTCGTCTTTATTAACTCATGTTACTCATTCACTGAAGCGTTTAGTAAATAATTTCTTCAAATAACTAATAAGAAACTGTTAGATTCCGGGATCAGTTTGCTGTAAATTACAGCGTCAAAAAAGTAAAGCAGAAATAAAACTTCAAAACAGCCCATCGAGAGTTATTGGCAAAAAAAACAAATATCAAGTGTTTATCGACCTAAGACTGAGCCCCAACCGGCTGCATTCTGTGAAGGAATGGCCAAGGCTTGAATCGGCGCCGTCGCGGCAACAGGTGCAGCAATGGGCTGAGTGGCAGCGGCAGCAATGGGTTGCGTGGGAATGGCGGCCGTGTTCTGGATAGGCATGGTCAGCTGCACCGGTTGGAGTTGGACCTGCGGCTGAGTCTGCGCACCCCATCCGCTGGACGTCTGCACGGGCATGGCAAGCTGCATGGGCTGGAGCATCTGTGTGGGTTGGGCGGCGGCACCCCATCCCGATCCGGCAGTGTTGGCACCCAGACCGGCTCCCAAACCGCCGTATCCACCAAGGCCTCCAATTCCACCGATGCCGCCAAGACCACCGCCGAGACCACCAAGTCCGCCGCCGATACCACCAAGACCGCCGAAGCCCACATTTCCAATACCGAACTGGGCAACGACCAGGCCGAGGCAGGCGAACACCACGGCGGTGAACACGATCTGTAATAAAAAAAACCAGTTAATTCTGAATCTAGTAACTGCTCGCAAATGAAATGCATGGAACTTAAGAGAATTAATACGAATTCGAGAACAATGACGAATATGAATTCACTATCGCGAAAACAGAAAAACAAAGCAGAATTTGAATCACAGAAATTTCTTCGATCCGAAGTGGTAACGCATATTACTGTACTTTGTAATGGTCTAAAATACAAAGAAAATAATATTGCGACGTTGCTCCGCTAAAATTTTAGTTGATTTTTGATATATATATTAGTTAAATTATGTGATTTGAAAGTTCAGTTTGCAACACCGTATCCGTTTAATATGTACACGGTGGTAGCGGTTTGTTAATTGTTCAAAGGTCATTTAGTAGTTTGATAGATTTGTACTCGGACTTACCGTTTGGGAATACATGGTTTGATGATACAGTTCAGGGATTATGAAACTCGTAAAAAAGTCAGTTAGCGGTAATTAACAGTTGATAAAGCGTAAAAAGCAGTAAAAAACGAAAGTAGCAGGATTTGCTAAAAACTGTACTAACGATCTGATGGTGAGTGTATTTTAGTGGCGAAATGTCCGGCTTATATACCTTTAAGTCAAATGAACTGACAGAAAAAAACTGTCCTCAGTCTGAGCTGTGATATGTCTCTCTCCTTTGAAAGAAAGTTTTTTTCAGCTATTGTGGAGCACAGATAAGAACCAGAGACTATACAGAGCAGCTTTGTAGTTCATGTCTGTCTTGCATGAGAAGGAGTCCAGTCGACGGTCAATGCAGGCGCCGTCCTATTTTGTTCGTTCTGTGGACTTGCTAATCCATCATGGTCAACTGGCAAGGTCCTAAAAGGAGGTTTTTGGATCGCGTTCTGTTTTTTGGATTTCTTGGTGTTTTTCGAGTTTAGCACAGATTTGCTGAATTAGGACTGAAATGTTTTATGATTACTTTATACATAACAGGCTGGGCTGTCAAACTGGGACGCGTGATATTTTCGCTATTAGACGGCAGTTCGACAACTTTTATACAATGAAACAATCCACGTAGGCATAAAAATTCACGTCAGATTTAGTACTTACATTAGTATTGTACATGGTTACACTTATTTAATTTTATTTACACGCTGTAAAGCTATGTCAAATCAACATTCCTTTATATTTTTATATTCATCGAAGCCCATTACAAAATCAAAAATTACTTACTTTTGTTACAAACACAGAGTAGTAGCAAAATGAGATGCGGTACTCATGTGATACGTTGATCCAGTTTGCCCATTCAGTTGATTTTTTAAGCCCACGTTAAACAAAGCGGTAGTTTGCCTGAAAAATTTAAATAAACTACTTACTTCCAGCTGATATTGTACGAGACATTATATTGACGAAACTCTACAACTCTTGCCCTGGAAACAAGGTTTTCGTTTTTGTATGGTGTCGACAACACGCTTGCTGACGCTGGCCATTCCAAAGATTTATTTTACATAATTATAGAATATATGGTTGTGAAAATTATCACAGCGTATTGTATTGTGCTTAGAAGTTAGAATTTACTTCCGACAACGTTAACACAAAACTAACCCTTCAAAAGGGCAGACATTCCCGGGTCATGCAAACGGGCAAAAATTTCCATGCATAACAATACATGCGCACATACAAATACAACCGAACTGTATTATATGACTGTAATATGAATATGCGGATACTATTGCAGACAAATAGTAGACCTATTCTACAAGCACGTACTGCGCCATTTCATTATTGTTATCGATCGAAAATAATCAAATGGCGCACAGTTAATTGTGCACGTTTTAGTTTGCCCACTCGATGCTGTATTGTAGTACTTAATTGTGCCAACACTTCGACGGTGCACCGGCGTAGCTGCCTAATAATGTCAATGCGCTACACTGTCATCTTCCAACTCCAAACAACCAATTTTGCACCGCCAAAGTGCACGTTTATCGCCATCAAATAACAAGGACGGGCGTAATAATCCACTCAATTAGGGATAGAATACCGGATTATTTTGCGGCAGCTGTTGAAACCAAAAGCCGACTCACACTGGCGCGTATTTGCATTTCCGGTGGCAGACATTCTTCGCTAGCGCTTAGAACATGTGGCAAATGTGCTACGGCTTTACTAGTTTAATTTGCTACACGTAGAATGCAGCTTGCGTGGATTTAAACCTTTAACATGGCTGTGCATTTAATCGTAATAAAATTTTTAGATGTTTTTATGGATGTCATGAATATTATTTTATGGATGTCGTGAATATTAATATCAGCTAATCGGTTAAAGCGGTAATTATGTAATTTACGTTAATTAAAATTACGCGCAAACTTTCCTGTAATTGTTATTGTTTTGGTTATTTCTGATCTGTTTTGGAATTAGCAAAACTAAAGATTTTTGAATATATATTATTTTTTGGATTCTCCATGATCGACGAAAAATTATTAACAGTGAATAATTGGGAGATCTGGAATACCAGTTTCAACGTCACCAATCTCACCATCACGAAGTCATTAATATCGCCAAATCCGGATTGTCCCGTGTATGCATTCAACGTTTTATTGCGAACATTAATTTCGATTATCTGTATTCCCCAGAACATTTTGACAATTTGTATGAATCTCATCGTTTTGTACTTGTTTATTGCGAAACGCGAACTGCGTTTGCCGCAGCATTATTATCTCATAAATCTGTCCCTATGTGACGCGCTGGTTGGATTGATTGCGCTGCCATCGCGGTTAACGTTGGATTTGAGTGGATGTTGGCCGGCTCCGTTTGTCTTTTGTCGCATCTACAAAATCATCGACTGGACTATAACCAGTGAAGCCAGTACGACAATCATGCTGGTAGCATATAATCGGTATAAAATGATCAGCAAAGGCGCGGCATTTGCAAATGAAGAAACCCACAGAAAGGTCATTTGTAACATCATTTACAGCTGGGTTTTCAATCTACTGTTATATGGCCCGGTGCAGCTAATGGATGTTTTTACCGGAATCCGGATATCTGGCGGCAACCAGTGTAAAAATGAATTTTTCCAAATAATCTGGTTGGGAAACTTCTTAGTGGTTACCAGTAATATTTTACCGCCGATTATTGTGTTCATCCTGTATGGATGGATTTTTCTCGCTCTGCAAAAGCGGAAGAGAAAGCTGGCGGCAGGAAAAGCATCATTAAAGTCCACCGACACTAATTCGCTGCAGAACGGCGATGCTAAACCGCCATCGAGTAACAAGCAAGCGACGACGATGATGATCCTAACGACTACTTTTTTGATTACTTCCTGTCCCTGTGGTATCTGCAGTGCAGTTATGTTTGTGTGTTCCGATGAGTACTTTACAACGGTATACCAGATTTATCTCACGACCTTATATCTTCTGTATGGAAACAGCTTGGTCAATTGTGTCGTGTACGCCACAAAGGTGCCCAGTATTCGTGAACCACTGCGCCGAAAACTGTATCAGTGCGGAGCCTTTGGCCGGGTACCGGTCTCGGTGTGTGATTGGCGGGTCAGCGTTATTCCACACCGCACCGGACAGACCAGAAGCACACATTACACAGGAAACCATTCTTAAATGTCGCATACTGTAATCGAACTCTGTGATGGAAATTTAATGTCATAATCATTAAGTGGCGTGGTTTAGTGTCCTAAAGTTGCTATTGTGACCTTTGATTTGTGTCCCGTGTGTCGAGCATGGAAACTGTGGTATCAGTACCTAACGTTGTTAAGTACGCGTCTGTTCCCAATATTTATTTGGTTGGTTGTTTGCGCTCACAGTTGCGGTTCAAAATAAATACGATTATATATGCCGTCATGTCAACTCGTGACACATGCATCCCATTTGCGGTAGCATTATTTTATTTACGCGCTAAATTTCAATAATAATAATAAGCAAGAAACAGCATCAGTCATGTCTCATAATTTATATTTAAAGAAAGTAAATGCATACCAAGGAAAAGTAATTAATAGCGGTTCGTCTAGTGGAATGCAACTGCACTTACAAATCGAAATTGTTCAAATTAAAATGAACATTTGTTAATGTTAGGAAACACGCAAATAAAGCGGCTTGCGCAGTGCGCACTCGCATTTGGGCTCTGAACATGAACGTTAATATTGCAACCGGTTCACCTTTGGTCGGATAGGTTAGATAAATGCAGATTAGAAGGAGTCCCTGGTACTGGACTAATGCGCTACCGCGCGTATGCTTCTATACACAATAAAAAGTATCATGTCTGTGACTTTATTCCAGAAAAAGTACTCATACTTCCGGCACATTGCAGAGCGCTGATTTTGCAAGTCACTTCAGGTTTCCACTCATGTTCATCCCGGATTGGCGGCGGATTCCCAGTATGTACCTCATGACTCATGAGTAAAGCTGCCAGTGTGCATGTGTGACCAGCTTGTAAGCTGGTGACAGTTTTGGATGACAAATTAATCCGGAAGTCCGGGTGTTCTATGGGTATATCTTCCAGATCTCACATAAGTTGGGATTTAACAATAATATCAAAATGTGGAACGCCAATGGAGCTTATTTTCTCATCCTATAAATCAGGAATGTTGTGGACCGTTTTGTAAATAAATAAATCGTATCGTAGGGGGTCACCGGTCAACAATCAGACGTTAGTTCCTTCCGGTCCTTTTTCTTCTACTAGTTTTTGGTGGAAAAGACCGTAAAATAATTGCCAGAAATATACAAAAAGGAAAACTATGCGAGAAGCCGTGTACACAACGTAAAGAGGTTATAAAACCAACCTCAACTAACTTTTAAAATTCAAACAAAAAAAGAAGTCTACTTTTACGACTTCACATTTCACATGTTTACGGTAGTAAACAAAACATACTGCCATGGCTGTGTATACTGTATAAATTACGCATTTACATAGCCATGCAATCGCTAACAGTTCTCAGGTATGACTTCTTGAAGTGGCAGTTACCTACAGTACTCGTACTGAATTGGAAGAGAGAACTCGCAACAACAAAGTTACAGAATGCCCAATTTTATATTTTTACAGGTTTACAGTTTACTTGAACAGTTTATAAACGGAGGAAAGCCAAACCATGTTTTAAGTTATCATTACTTGGGACCAGTTATTCTTAAAACTTTGTAATTCATAATTCTGGTTTGCTACAGTGATCGATCAGCATTGCGCTGGTGCGCTGTCACTTGAGCTTCGTCGTTGTTCAAGTGCTGATGCTGGGTTTTTCGTTTTTGTTTGAGTAGGATCTGCACATTCATCTTGCGTTGAAAACCTGAAAATCTTCGTAATACACAATCCTTGCTTTGTGCGAGGAGTATATGGTTAAAGATGCCATCAATCAAAGTCACTCCTTTAGGTAAGCACGGTCAAGTGTTCCCGAGCGGAGCTGTAGTTAAATTTATGGTACGATGTCATCGCCATGAAACGGAATAGTGACAGTTCGTTTCGTTTGTTTTTGCAGGAGCCGGCCAAGGTACTGCTATCCTCGCGAGTGCTTTGATCTTCGTCGTTAATCGTCCGTACTATTCCGTGTATTGTTTTCAGATGTGGGGCGCAGTTGCATTTTGGTCACCATCGGAGGTCGTCACATCATGTTGGATTGTGGAATGCATATGTCTGCTGGTGATCAGGTACGTCGCATTGCTCCATTGCTTTGCCATGGAAAAATTGCTTTGCCATGGAAAAACGAAAGATTAAAAAGAAAATTGGTGGAATAAAAATTTTATTATTATGACAACAGAACATCAAAATCGTTGCGCCGTAGATGTGCGAAATGCTGTATTTTTTTCGGCTGTTGTTAAAAAATGTTTGTTTACGGTTTATACGATATAATTTGCTATCTATAGAAAAAGTTTCCGGATTTTGAGTACATCACATCTAAGGAGAAGCTGGACGATTACTTGGACTGTGTGTTAATTAGCCATTTCCATTTGGATCACTGTGGGGCTTTGCCGCACCTTACTGAAGTCATTGGTTACAATGGGCCAGTGTTCATGACACATCCGACAAAAGCTGTATGTCCGCTCCTTCTGGTATGTCTAAATAAATTGATTGTGCTATTAAATTATCCGTCCACTGATACCTATTCGGTACTTATTCGCGGGAATATTTTCTAACACATTTTTGAGAAATTTTTCTGTTTGAAAATTTGATGCTGTTTATGATATCTCTGAATATGAGTGTACTGTAAATTGATTTGAAATTATAATTATTTTTCGATTTTTTGCATACGGAATGGTTGGAATGTTTACCATATTTTGGTTTTAGGAAGACTTTCGCAAAGTTGCTGTGGAGCGTAAAGGAGACACGTCCATGTTTAATTCCGCTCAAATCCAAGCCTGCATGGCTAAAGTGACGCCTTTGGGACTGAATCAGTGCGTAAACGTTGGAGATATTTTTATTAAGGTGTATTATGCTGGCCATGTTCTGGGCGCTGCGATGTTTTATGTACGCGTCGGCGAGGAGAGTTTGGTTTATACGGTAAGGAGAAAGGAGTCTCTTAATGTGGGAAATTCCGGATTGTTATTTATAAGCGGTGCTGTAGGGCGATTATAACATGACGCCCGATCGACATTTGGGTTCGGCGTGGATTGATCGGTGCAGACCCGACGTGCTCATAACAGAGTCAACGTATGCCACAACAATTAGGGATTCCAAACGGATTCGCGAGAGAGAATTCCTGAAGAAGGTGCACACGGCAGTTGCACGCGGTGGAAAGGTATGGCCAGCCTTCGTTATACATATTATTCTTCTCTTAATTTAGTTCGTTTAAGTTAGAACTTCGCATTTCTACTTCAGTTTCGTTCTTTTGCTTTTGTTGTCTGGTTACCTATATCTTAATGTTTGAAAACCGCTGCATTGTTGGGAAGCGTCGTGCTCAGATTCTCGATAAAAGTGGAACACTTGTACGTGTCTCTGTAGGTCCTTATTCCTGTCTTCGCGCTGGGTCGCGCACAAGAACTATGCATTCTTCTCGATTCGTATTGGGACCGGATGGGACTTACTGCGCCGGTTTATTTTAGCGCGGGATTGACAGAAAAGGTATGAAATGCAGAAGAATATCGATGAAGAGTGCCTTGTGTATTGAATGTCTATCTGTTTATTGCAGGCAACGAATTATTATAAGTTATTTATTACATGGATGAACGAGAAAGTGCAGAAAACTTTCGTGGAACGCAACATGTTTGAATACAAGCATATTTCAGTAAGAGTTTGTCGGTATTCGGTTAAGTTGAATTTACTGATAATGTCCCCTTTTCCAGACATTCGAGCGAGCTTTTGCCGATAATCCTGGACCCATGGTGGTTTTTGCTTCTCCTGGCATGCTGCATGCCGGTTTATCGCTGCAGCTTTTCAGAAAATGGGCGCCCGATCCCAAAAATATGGTTTGTTGAATTTATTGCACATTTTAAATATACTTAATCTTCGGTGTTTGTGCTAATTCGGAATAGCTTGCAAACGTTTATGATTTGAGGGGAAATGAGAATTAGTGTAGAGTCCCTACAATAGTTGTGCATACGGTGAAACTCTTATTGGTAATGAGCCACACTTTCGCTGTTTTTTACCGACATTATTGGCGACATATTGATATACAAAGAAAGGAACATTAAAGATTTCTGAACTATTTAAAGATTTTTTATGAAAGATTTCTGCACTGCTACTAAAACTCACTAGTAAGCTTACTGCGAATTTGAATGGGATAGACAAAACTTTTACATTTTCAGGTTATCCTGCCAGGATTTTGCGTTTCGGGAACTGTTGGAAACAAGATCCTGAGCGGAGTTCGGAAAATCGAATTTTTTAACCCGAAAGAAACGGTATTACTACGAGAATGATATTTTTAACGAAATGGAATGTTTTTTAACTTATTTCTTGTGCTGCAGATCGATGTAAAGCTGGATATCGAATATCTATCGTTTAGTGCCCATGCGGATGCCAAAGGCATAATGCAACTTATCAGGATGTGCGCACCGCGTCACGTGTTACTGGTCCACGGCGAAGCAGTGAAAATGGGCTTCCTCCAGAAGAAGGTGGAGAAGGAATACGGCGTGCCTTGTCTGTATCCGGCTAATGGAGAAACGGCTTCCATACCAACACCTGATGTTAAGAATGTTTTGATCGATAAAAATGTGATGTTAGGTAATTGGTGCAATATCTTGCAGTTACGAATTTATTGACAAAATCTTTTACGTTTTAATTATATTTAATATTTTAGTGCCTCCCATGCATTCCAAGATGATCTCGCGAATTTTCGATGGGATTGTTATCGTTGCAGACGAACAGGTAAACTTACTCGTTTTTGGAGAGCTTTTAACTCTGTGAAACAAAAGCTGCATGAAAAATTGTTACAGATCTCCATCGTCAGCGAAGAAGAGGCCGCACGATTGTACTCATTGAACTGCTACAAGACTTATTTCACGGAGCATTATTCGTTCTCTTGCCAAGCACCACCAGCAGTGGCTCGAAAACGGATAAGCCGAGAAGTATCTAGGTAAAACTAAAGAATAAGTATTTGAATAGTGAAGAGAAGAGTAAGTATGCTATCGTATGAGCTTCTCTGCAGGTTAGTGATGAACCCGAAGAATCAGGCTTTTTTCTGTAGAACTGTCTGCTTTCAATTTCGACTGCGGTGTGCCGTTACAATGCTAAACCCCCTCATTTAGCTCGAGTTTCGGTATTTTAAAAGTTCTTTTCCGAATCCGCCGATGGATTTATTTTACTGTAGTTTTACAGTTTATTCGTTCGCTGCTAGAACTTGTAGGATTTTTTACATGGTGTAAAACGTGATAAACGTTGCATGTGAAATGTGGTGCACTTTTTACTGCTTGTTAATTTTATTTACGTATTTAAATCGTTTGTTTTTTACGAACGCTTTATTGCAGTTTGAGCTGTTTTTCAGGCGGTTTGGTCCGTTTTGTGGCTCGAAAGAAGAGGACTATGGACTGGACATGGGCAGCAGCCAGCTCGCCAGCCCGCATTTACTCATCGACGTTACCCTGAATACCGATACCTCGGACGCTCCAAAAACTTTTGTCTATGATTTGGTGATGAAGTGGGAGGACGGTCTTGTTGAGGCTGATGTTGTGGATCAATTTATCGAGGCGTTATCGTCGATCGTCGATGTGCATCCCGAAGAGGGCGAAATTGATGACACATTGCAGCCGAACACGGCATCCGCATCCGATTCAGACAGCTATACGGTCAGCGACGCTGAACAGGAATATGGATGTCTCTTGCCTCTAAAGAAGCGCACCGCCGACGATCTCGATTACCTGTATGAGGATTATGAATGTGTTGATGAAGTTACAACGAGTTCATGATTTTGTAGAATTATTTTCGTATTCGTCGTTTGTAGAATTTTGGACTAGTAAAAGAGCAGGTATCAGTTTAGCAAACCATTCGGTTTCGGCCGTCGAGTAGACCTGGTGCTGATGCTGTGTAATGACAACGCTCTTTCTGATAATTTTAATAAGTGGTTTTGGCTTTTTATAGTAATCCCAGTTAAACTTTCCGTTGGTTTTGTTGAATGTGAGTGCAGTCGACAACGTCGTAAAAATATCAGCAGAACCAAATAAACAAAAAATTTCTTCTGTAATTTGCTAGTTTGCATAGGCCGAGCAGCAAAATAAATGCACACAGTACATTGCTATCGTTGAAAATTCTAAAAAGGTGAAACAATTCAGCACAACACAATTCAGTACGGTAACATGAACGAATTATCACGTACTGAATTAATTGCAATAGCGTGATGCAACTATTTATGCCCATTTGCTAACTTCAGAAGCTACGTAGACGTAACGTAGTCAAACACCGTAAGATTTTGGTGATGGTTTCACTAATCTTGCAAGCATTATCAATATTGCGCCAAAATTTTCGTAAGCCAGCCGTATCATTCCATTGCAGTTTACGTTTCCCACATTTGTGCGTGGGAGATATCGACCGGCACTGAAATAAATGAATGCACTCGCGAACTTAATCCGTTTATCACGCAAAAACATAAACGGCATCAACATCCCTGCTTGACCTGCGCTCATTTATTGACGCCATTTGGCGGAAGGGAAAAACTTTGAGTTCCTAGTCGTACGTTTTCTCATGTTGAACTCCCAGTATAGTACACAGCGATTAAGTAGAAATGCTGTTTTGTTTATTGTTACTTACTTGTCACTAATAATTATTCATACTGCCGGCTAATTCTGGCGCGAGATCGACTTTTTAGCGGTACAACATATATCGGACTTCCCGAGTTTTGCCAGTTGCTTATGCTTACAGTTAGTAAAAAAGGTGCGGAATATATCCTCTGGCTGTTCTTTTCTGTTCCGTATTCACAGGTTACAATTTTACATTTTACACCCTCATTCTTACAGTTAGTTGTGTGCAATACAGAGCTCGAACTTATGTATTAGAGTAATAATACGAGCAGGGTTTCTTTACAGTAGTTTTTCTACTGGCAATACTTCCATATATGCATCGACTGTATTTGTCTTGTTGGTACATTTCGCGTAGGTGCTGCAGAAAGAATGATGAAGGTGTTGCTGTTTTTTGCACTGGCAATTTCTTCCGGGACCACCCAAAACCTCAACTATTCAATATTCAACCAAGTGCTGGATTCTCTTCCACGACAGGATGAAGTCCCGCGCACATCTTGGCGTGAAATAGGTACGTTTTCTCATAATTCGCGACAAATTACTTGTAGTTTAGTAAATGTTCTGCGGAACATATTGCAGAAGGTCATGCTTCACAAGCCACACTGACTTTGTGTCCGGATGTGGTAGATTTTTTTAATCATACAAATTTCGGTGTTACGAATGAGACAGTATGGCACGGTACAAACGTTACCCGGACTCGGAATATCGACGATGGGATGCGCTATTACAATTTGCAGCGCCTGCAGGGCACTGAGGCCCTGCGCTTCTATATACGCTCCACAAAAACCGGCCAGATGGCTGGTATGCCGATTCATGCAATTTTTTTACGACAACTCAGATCCTTCCTCCAACTGCCGGATGCTATGGGAACTCATCAGGTTGCCGTTCATATTAACGGTCTTTCGGTAACCGAACTAGAGGATGCCCTTACGTATGCTTGGGGTGAGCTTTTATTTCTACATGGAACCTAGGCGAACATGCTGTTCTCTGTCTACATACATACAGACATCCATTGTTTTGTGTGCGTAATTATAATTCGGTATACCGTGCTTTTGTGACGAAGTCTTCTGACTTTGCAGTCCAAAAACGTTGCTCATCAAAGCAATAATGACGATACCATAATATGGAAACCACATTTGTACTAACAGATTAACCACGCGGTTGTATTGTACTATAGCTCATTAAAATATAGTAAAGTATCACATCGCTTTTACTGTGCTGCTTAGCTGTTTATTCACAATTTGGTGTCCACTGAATAGGAGGAGCTGACTCGACAAGTAGGGACCTGCGCGCCCAAATCGTCTTCCTTGAAAACGGCACAATGTATTTTTCAGGAAACGGGTAATGAACAGCTAAAAAATCGAATGACGCTGTTTAACCGCGTAGTTTAGACAGTACATAAAAAACTCTTGGGCATATACAAATTTCAATGCATTCGGTTACAGTATTATACTGCCAATCATTAAAGCTATCTGCTCTTTCCGGCAATCACGCGCAGAATGCCTGAATTTTTGATGCAGTTGTGACGGGTTAAGGCGGCTCGAATCTTATGGTTGATCCCTTGCAACTTGAACCTCTGTCTAAGGCTTATTTTATTTACCGACAATCATTTAACTGATTGATTGACTGCTGAAATTTTGAATAATTTGAATTCTAACGTCCCGGTGCACTCTCACAAATATACGAGTTACGGTATTTTGTTAATAATTTATAATTTTCTGCTTGTGCATACATAACGTCGCAACTACCTTGTATTGAGCCAGAAGTTATTTTTAGGATACCACTGATGGTAATCCTGTATATTCTTCGAATTCCTAACCCTCCGAAAATGGTTGCGGTGCCAAACTTAGTACCGCACCAAACGTTGTCCGCAAATGCCTCAGTACGTCAGCTGAAGAAGGTACAGTAATTCCTCCTTCAGTCGAGGACTTCCGCCAGCTATTGCAAACGAAAGGCATGATCTTACATTACGACACGCCCATGTTTACTGGAGCCGGATCCAGGGCTTTCTTGAAGGCGAACCAGACGTATCGGGGATCAGAGTCATATCGCGCAAAGAATGACCTTTTCGAACTGGCTATGCAAGAACGAGCTAAGCGAGGCTGTCTCAATGATAGTGCCGCTGATATTGTGGATGTTCATCTGGGCAACATGGCTGCGCAGTGGACTATCCTTTCCAGGACAAATGGCTCCTATTCCCAGTAATCACTGTGTATACGTATAAATTGAATCTTTTTGTGGTCAGTACACGTAGCAATATGATATAGTGTCATATAGCAATTTTTTCGGGCCGCCCTCTTATTTCGATTGGCCTCATCGGCACTGAAGTTTTGAATATTTCGAGTTCAAAAGTTCTGAAACGTTTAAATCTTACGCAGGTTTATAAATTATTAGTTTTAAACTTTAACAGATGGCTTAGCAGTGAAATACATAGCTGAAAAAAGATAGTAACTAATCTAATAACATCATCTTGTATGTAACTTGTGCTAAGTGCTTGTGCTTACTGAGTTTCGATTATCTATTCAATTAAAATATTACAGTATAACAAAAGTCACCTTGTCATCATTAATTTTTTATGTTGTAGGATCGTTGCATCGCCATTGAGTTTTGCACTGACAGTGAATAAAGAACTGTATGTCGGACAGCTGAACTTAAATTCCCTGAAAGAGCAGAAATATGGAGACCGGTACCACATGCCCTCAAGATTCGAAAATTTATATGCCGCCGTCGGTAAACTGCATTGGTCAAAAACATTGGAACTGGATCCACAATATTCATTCCGCATGTACCTTGATCGACCGCTTCATGTCCAGTTGATGCCGCTGCTGGAATCGGTGCTGACTCAACGCTTGAACAGAACTCTGCAAGGTAATAAATAATTCTACCCCAGAAATATAAATTACTTTTAGAGCAGAACAACATGTATTTGTCTGCGTCAAATTTAATCGTACACTCAATAAGAAAAACAAATTTACGAGCATAAAATTGTAATGCCATAGCATAACAATTACTACGATATTATGTGTTGTAAAGTATGCCATGCCCATGTAACCCGTATCCGTATTCTGAGCTGCCAGAAAATTACTTACAGTAATCAATAATTTGAGCTGCGAGTTCAACTAATTTTATAATTTATTATCGCAAACTGAAAGAAAGAAGAAAGATGAAAAATCAGTGCGTACAAAGTTATGTCATCCGTATCAACCAAAATAAAAGATCGTGTTCGTGTTGGACATTTTCAATATGGGTGGTCAAAATCTCTGTGTATTCTTTACGCGGCAGTTTGCGCGGCAGTTGGGTAAAAAGCGTGAGTCAACGGCGCGTAAACAAGCAAACGTGCTCATTCGTAAACAAGAATTCTGGGATGGGTTATCAGCTTACTCTTCCATGTAAGCGTTGCGCTTCGATATCGAAGCGCAACCATTACTTACCCAGACATACACACGTATATGTCAGCCAGCAGAGTTCTTTGTTGTCAACATTCTGCCAACAACTGTATATAATGGATTTGTATAATTTCATATGTAATGATCTGATATGTCGCTTGCGTGATTAATTACGGAATTACCAGCATATTTTGCATTTCAGTTTGTTTGACTTTCACTTTGCATTTGTTGCCGGCTTAAATAACGACGGCTCTGGAGACACACTTTAAATTTCAACATGAACTCAACATCGTCGTCTTCTGATTCAAGCGCAACAAAATCGCTATCGCTGGTGCTTTCGGAATCGCTTTCTAACAAGGCTTGCTCCGTTTCATCATTGATTAACTCGATCTTTAAACTGATAATCTTTTTGTCGCATAGATTAAGAAATTTCTGCCTTTTAGATGGTGGTGTCATTGCAGAAATCACAACAGTTATTGCCACTACTGTAATTTATACACGTGCAATTAATTTTTGAACTCCTCGCAAATAAAGAATAGCTGCAGCGTGACAGGCGCAGCGATGTCTTCGTTATGCCGGGACATGATGCAGACTAGTTCATGTGGCGCCGCATTTTGCATTAAAAGTTACTTTTGTTTTCACTTTGGTGGTCAGTTTCTATCCTGGCACGCAAACATACTCGTCCTATCATTTGTTGACAGCTTTTTGGCTCAACCTGCAAAGACTGGGTGCCTCAAAATTCGCATAAATGTTACTTCCAACCTCTTGAACCAGAAGAATTGGATGCTAATCCGAAGTACATTTTCTTTGATTTCGAAACTTACACGTCGGTCGATGGTACTCACATTCCAAACTACGTCGTCGCGCAGTATTGCTGCGGAAAGGAATATCGTTTTCCTCCTGATGGTACTCCTCTAGCCGGTTATGATGTCATCGCAAACTTTTGCAAATGGCTTTTCCGTGAAGAGCATCGTGGCTACACGATAATTGCGCACAATCTGCGAGGATACGATGGACATTTCATTTTGGCCCACATAATAGACAATAACTTGAAGCCGGACATTCTTTGCCGTGGTAGTCAGCTGCTGAATATTCGCTACAAAGCTTTGGACATGAACGCCGTGGATACGCTTAACTTTGTCAGCTGGCTTTGTCTAAATTTCCTAAAGCGGTCGGTCTTAAATCTGATGAGAAGAAAGGTGACTTCCCTCACAAAATTAATCAGCCGGAAAATTGGGATAAAATTATTCCCTTCCCAAACCCGTCTTCTTACGGTATCGAAGCAATGTGTGCCGCCAAGCAGGTCGAATTCTTTAAATGGTATACAGGCGAAAAAACAAGAAGCAAGGACGTTTTTGACTTTCGGCAGCAGTTAACCAGCTACTGTTCAATGGACGTGTCAGTTTTGCGGAAATGTGCCTTAAAATTCCGAGATGATTTTATGGCTCTAGCGTGCATTGATCCCTTTAAATCCGTAACCATTGCTTCAGCTTGTTTGAAATTTTTTCGAACTTTTAATCTCCGGAAGGAAGAAATCGGAGTCATTTCAGCTCACGGTTACCAAACCAACAGAATAACCAGCATGGAAGCAACTCAGTGGCTGACCTGGGTTAACAAAACAGAAGCTGATTGGCGAATCGAGCATGGGCGAAATGGAAAAGAGAAACGTATTAATGATTATTTTGTGGACGGCTACGATCAAGTTACCAACACGGTTTACGAATACAACGGATGCGTTTTTCATGGACATCCGGACTGCACCAACGCAAATGACCGTTCACCTTTTTCAAACAAGACTATGCAAGAAGTTTACGAAGAATACCGGATCAAAGTTTGTTCTATAAAAGCTCGGGGCTTCAACTTTGTGGAAATGTGGTCATGCCAGTGGCGCGAGCAGTTAAAAGATCCAAGCATTCGGCAGTATATGAACGATATGTCCCTCCGCAGTCCTCTTCAACCAAAAGAAGCATTTAAAGGCGGCCGTACTAACGCAAACAGGCTACTTTACGAATGCGGTCCGAATGAGAAGATCCATCACTATGATATCGTCTCTTTGTATTCTTATGTCAACAAGAATTGTGTGTATCCAATCGGGCATCCGAAAATTATAACAGCAGACTTTAAGGATATAAGCGAATATTTTGGATTTGTAAAGTGTACAGTGCTTGCGCCGGGACAGTGCTTATTTCCTGTTTTGCCTGCAACTATAAATGGAAAGTTAATCTTCGCACTCTGCAGTAAATGTGCAGAGCTTCGGCAAAACGATTTTTGCACGCATGGCGACAAGGAGCGATTGCTGGAAGGTGTGTGGACTACTCCCGAACTGCATCATGCGATTTTACGTGGGTACAAAGTTGTTGCTGTTCATGAAGTCTGGCATTGGGAAATACGGAAAGAAAAATTGTTTGAAGACTTTGTTAACACATTCCTCAAAGAAAAAATTCAGGCAAGTGGATGGCCAAGTAACTGCACCACTGAAGCGGAACGGTTGGAGTTTGTCATAAAAGTGAAGGACGTGGAAGGTATTGAACTGGATTCCTCGCAAATCGAAGACAATCCAGGCCGAAAAGCAGTTGCAAAGTTGATGCTGAACTCATTCTGGGGCAAATTCGGACAAAATGACAATCTTCATCAGACGAAAATTTTCTTCAAGCCGAAAGATTACTATGACTTCCTCGTATCAAAATCTACCTGGATCCACAATGTCCATATCTTCAGTCCTGAATGTGTCATGGCAACTATTTCCAAAATCGACGACTATCTAGAAGGATCGTACACCGCCAATATCCCTATCGCAGCCTTTACGACGAGTTATGCCCGGCTGAAACTTTTGGATATGCTTGAGAAGTTAGGTGAACGAGTACTTTATTTTGACACAGATTCCGTTATTTTTGTTCAGCGGTCAGGCGAGTGGCAGCCACCAACAGGTACGATGCTTGGAGAATGGAGCAATCAGTTAGAATCGGGAGAGAGTCATATTGTCAAGTTTATTTCTCTGGGGCCCAAAGTTTATTATTACGAAACAGATACAGGAAGGATAGAAAGTAAAATTAAAGGCTTTACTCAAAATGGATATACGGAGAATATCCTAGCCGATTCTGGGGAAGGGCTGGTTCAAACAGGCCAGAGTATGGACTACAACCTTTGGAAATCGCTCTTGAAGAATGATGGCCAAACGGTGCGCGTTGTCTATCCCGAAACCATCAAAAGAAATGTCAACACTCATGAAATCAGCACCGTTCAACTGACGAAAACTCTCAGGCGAGTATACGATAAACGGATGCTGTTGGATGATTATAGTACTTTACCGTTTGGAACTCGCATGGAGTAAGTTAGAGTGCTCTTTCTGTACTTGTACAAAAAAAAAATTCGCACTATTTTTTTTTGCCAGCTAGCGCGCCATATTCGAAGGGATGCGCAGGGACATGATGTCGTTGGAGCAAGTGTCGTAGTTTTCGATTTTGCAGTTTGTAACTGTTAGCATATAATAAAAAAAAAAGAAAAAAAAATTTAAAAAAAAAAAGCAAAAAAAAAAGAGGGCGAATGCCCCAAATCTGTACCGGCTTTAGCTTGTCTGCGGCCAGGTTGAAATCGTTATGGCTTTGGGCTTCGTCGCTGAAACAAAAGCCGCTAGCGGTAATATTTTGTGCTGCTGTATTATGGTGTTATATAACTGCATGGAAGCAACCACAAAATATGATGAAACGGGGAGTAAATTGGCAGTGCAAGGTACTGCATCGAATATACTAGAAGAATAATGCTAGAGAAGTTACAAAAATCGGAAGAATGGTTAGCAAATGCGACCAGATGATGCGCGTTCCGTTCATTGAGCTTGTATTCAAATCGAAACATATGTAAAAATCTACGGGAAACTCATATGAAAAACTTCCGTTTTGCAACATTTCGCTGCAAAAACTTGTAGTTTTCCGTAGTCAAAAAAAAAACGGAGGCTTTCGTTTTGGGATTCTCATTGACTTAACATACATTTTCGTAACTTTTAGGGAGTTTTTCGTTTTCACTTTTGGGAGTTTTTTGCTTCAGTTTCTTTGTTTTGTAAAACTTCCATTTCCGCACTAGCAAAAGAAATAAATATATTGACTTACTTTCACGCTTTTTGAAGAACGACAATCCATCTTACGCACATGTTCAAAGTGGCATTTCTAACTTGCATGTTTGCCGTGACATTTTCCAACTTCGTTGCATGTTTGCCGTTACATTTCCAACTTTGTTGCATGTTTGACATGACATTTTCAACTTTCTTGCATGTTTGACGTGACGTTTCTAACTTTATTGCATGTTTGCCGTGACATTTCCAACTTTCTTGCATGTTTCGCGTGACATTTCTAACTTCACTGCATGTTTGCCGTGACATTCCCAACTTTCTTGGATGTTTGACGTGACATTTCTAACTTTGTTTCATATTTGACATGACAATCCCAACTTTCTTGCATGTTTGCCGTGACATTTCCAACTTTTTTGCAT